CACGAGGGCACTATAAAACACAGTGCTCAGGAGCTATGCTCAAATCAGCCTACCTGGATTCTAATTCACACTCTATATCACAACCGGCTCACTGAACTTGGACACTGTTGTCTTACATAAGTAACTGAGTTAATGCTAGAACTGACATGTTAGGTTGTTATAGAAAACAACTCAGCCACTTTCGGGTGTACGGAGTGGAACTTTATTTATGCATATGGACCCAGGGAGGCAGTCTCCCTGGGTCCCGAGCTCGGGCAGGGGCTTGTTTATATAGTGTGGCATGTGGAAGTGATTTTACTAAGCCTACGTGGCAGAAGCAGGTTTACAGAAGCAAAAAAGCAGGGCTGCTGAGAAAGCAGGGCTGCTGATTGGGTCATACAATGTTCTTTTGTTCTTACTTCTTAGTTACTTAGTTGCTCACCCCTCCTTATCTTAGTGGCTCAGCAAAGGGACCGTGTCCTTCTGACTTGCTGGGGCTTGTCTAAGCAGGTCTCCTGCTTCAAGGTTCCTATCAATATTAAATTAGCTGATATATATAATTGCTTGGCTAAATGTTTAGCATATTTTCTATAATGTTAGCTATAGTTGTGACTATTGAATCATTCAATGATTTATACACATATAAAATTATTCAATCATTTGATGAATGGCAATTCATCAAATGAGTCATCTTTATAGAATTTGTAATAATTTTATTAAAGATTTTATATTTCCAGGGGACAGTGACCAGAGGGGAGAGGGAAGGGAATTTAAGGGGGGAAAAGGGGAGGGATTTGGAGGAACAAATATGAAGGACACAGGAACAAGAACTAAGGGGGGTGGAAATGGGAGGGAGGTGAGGAGCATGGGGCGGTGGGAGCAGGGATGAGAGAAATAGACAAAAAACTGTACTTGAAAAATAACTAAATAAAATTATTTAAAAAATAAAATAAAATAAAGATTTTATATTTCCACAAGTAGCAACTTTGATGGTAACCATACAGTATAAAATGTATTCTGCTTCCTAGCACCCTTGCGTATTGTACCTCAGCAGTAGTTGAACATGTAGAGAATATAAGACTTTCCCATCTACTTTAAAGTTGGCCTCCATTTCAGCATCTTTGAAATGGGAGCAATAGCATTTCTCTGTGCTTTTATGATTAGGAAGCATGTTAATATGTGCAATGTATGTTGAAAAGTACTTGGTTTCTGTTTAGCTTATGTTACTACTATTATTTCTTTCAAGATTATTTTCTTAAATAGCAGTTTTTTCTCTGCCAGATTGTAATAGGAGCTGGAAGATAATCACTTACAAATTCTGCTTTTGGGTAAGAGAACTCCAGGGTTCCCGACTCAGAGAGGACATGCAGGGTTGACGTTCCGTGAAGGAAACAGTAAAAGCAGCCAGGTTGTTATCAGCAGTGAAGGCCAGACCTTTAATTTTTTCGTTGTTGTTTCTAAGGTTCATAATTAAATATGTGTAGAAAAATTTGTATAGTAATTGCATTGTAATTACATTTCTGGCATATTTTAAGGTAAGCTAGATACACTAAAATATATATGTATTAATATACTTTGTTGTTCCACAGGACCCTTAGAAAATTAAAACATTCTTCTCCTATAAGTACTATTTTAAAATGAAAAATTTCTCTGTAAAAACAAACACACAAAATTTAATTAACTCAGCAGCAGTTACTAAATCTCCACCCAAGTGTGGACTTTCTTCTGATCCGCAGTATATGATGCTCTTCCTGTTCGTTTGTTATTAACAGGGGTCGGTTCTGTGGTTGTCTATATGTGATTTCTTCAAAAAACTTTCTCATTGGTTTGAAATAAAAACACTTAAACCCATATTTTCTTCCCTCTATAATAGCAAAGGCTATTTTGAGGAAGGGTTTTAACTCTGAAAAAATTATCGGTACATGCCACCACGACTGTTTGGATTTTTCTCTAACTAAGGAGAATAAAGCTAGAATTTCTGGGTAAAACATGTCATTGGACTAACAGTGTCTAGGCTGCCATCTCCTAACTTTCCCTTAAAGATTGTCAAAAGGAGATACAGAAATACGAAAACAAACACCACCGCTGGAAACTAATAAAAAGAAATGTTTTATTTGAAGATTTGGTAGGATGAGATTAATAAAACACAAGCCTGGCACACAGATACCTGGCTTTATTAGCCGAAGCCAGTGTGATCGCCAAAATTATGAAGGAGAAGCATAGGTATCTGGATGGTTGTTTGTCTTCATTATTGGACTGCTGGGCCTCAGAGTCAAGGAAATGAAGTATCCACTCTGCTCCTCAGTAGGAGCAAGTCTCCTGAGCAAGCCAAAGTCATACCCTGCTTCTTCTCCCTGCCTCACCTGTGCCCCCTCACTCTAAATCCCAACAGAAGTAGCGATGTCTAGTAAACTGGCATAACAATAATTAGTTGCATTCTGAATACCACAATTTCAGTAAAAGGAGTACTGTGTGTGGGAGCAGATACTGGCAGCACCTGAAGCAAACATGTTTGGGGAAGAGTGCAGTGTCTCATGCCCTATACTGTGACAAAGTAAGTCATTTACTTAAAGCATGGACCAGGAATCAGTAATCAAGAAGTTCCCGTCTGCACAGAGCCATGTTCTACAAAATAAGACACCAGAAGTTGGCTTAGTGCCTGTACGCAGCAAGTTCTACTCTATAAGCCAAGACAGACTTATTACTAAAGATGAAAATAAGCATTTTATGTGAACCATTAATTTTTTTCTCTTAGGTACATACCTGATAGAAATGCATGCACATGTGGGTACTGCAAAATATATGGATGAAGGTTTATTATAATTTTATTTTAAGAGCCAATCGAATCACAATAATCAGAGTTAGTGAACAAACTGCAAACATTCCACAAATCTATTTTAATAGGAAACATTTTCGTAATTTTCAATTTTACCATATATAGAAATCAGATTTAGGTCAAAGGAGGATGGCACCAATGGGTAAACAGATCTTTTGCTACAGAGAATGGAAGCAGTTGGATAAGCATGAGGAAATTAATAAAATGGGACCCACGTCACACATCTTATGCAACAAAATTAATTCCAGTAGACTTTGGATCTAAATGTGAAAGGACAAACAATAAATCTAAAATATAATGGAGGAGAAATTTTAATGCCCTAAGGATAGGAAAATTTGTTTTAAATGAAAACAAAAATACAAATGATAGGGAAAAAAAACAAATCTGCATTAAAATTAAGAATTTCTATATATTTCAGAACACCATATACTTGTGTAGAGTTCAGCCACAGACAGACATCTGAAAACAAATACATATGAATGTCAAAGGACTTACCTAGAATATTTATAGACAATTAATATGAAAAGGCATCGGGTATCATGGAAGTGCAAATTATGACTAAGCAGTACTTCACCAAAATGGCTAAAAGCAATTTTAAAAAACATTGAAAAAGTTATGGAGCAGGGGAAACTTAAGTACTACTGGTAGAGAATTAAATTGATTTAGAAGGTTTGTCATCACCCACTGAAGTTGAAAGTAAGCATTTCCTGTGAATCAGCAATTTTTCTCCTAGATGACAGACTTGATACACATGGATGCACATGTATATTTTAGGATACACACATATATGACTATAATAGCTTTGTTTGTAATAGCCAATACTGGTAATAACCCAAATATCTAATACAATTAGTGGAAAGCATAAATAAGTTTTGTTGTACTCATCTGATAAAACAACAAAAAAATGACCTATAAATATATAAAATTGAAGAATAGATTTCATGCTTATAATATTATGTGAAAACAGCAAGACACAAAATATCGGTCATTTTATATTTGCATGTACATAAAGTTTGATAGCAGACAGAATTAAATGTAGTGTGTAAAGATATAGCTTTTGGTGATAAAACTAAGAAGGTAGGAAAGTGGTGCCATACACAATAGGATTATGATTAATCCTACCTCCCTTGGCAGAGGGAGATTTGGGGAGCATCACAGTTATGAGAGAGGGTTTCTGTTGGAACTGATGAAGTTCTTTTCCTTGACTTAAGTAAAAATTGTCATATAGACTTCCAAATGTCAGGGAATGTTTTGAATCTGAAGAATACCTTTGTGCGAAAAATGGAATAGAGAGTTGGTGCAGATGTTCAAGTAGTTTGATAGAAAATATGAAGGAAGAAGGCCAATCTCTACAACAACCAAGAACATGGACCTAGAGTCCAAATAGGACTTAAGTCCTGGCTCTTCAGTGATCTTGGGCAAGATACTGGTAAAACCCCTTCTCTCAGAAGACTATCATGAAAATTTGGTGATCGGTAATTCTGATTTTATTAAAGTTGGAGCAAATAAGGATACGACATGGATAGTCTTAATAGTGTTTTTAAAAAGGTGAAGTTAGGAAAGAGTTCTCAAACAGTTCCAGGACCTGGGCTGGGAGATTTTAAGTGAAGCCTCACAGGGCAGAATTTCAGTAGAAAATTAGGCAGTGTGTGAAAAAGAGCAGACGTGAGTGAGCATAGCAAGGTTGGGGCCTTCAAGCAGTGTTGATAAGTGTACTATTTTAATTGGATCACTGTCTAATGTCCTGGGAGCAAGTATTTCTTGGAGCAAGCAGCTCAGGAATTATTGTTTGGTTTCATGTCGTGAACATATATTTAGGAAAACAATTTCTGGCCTAAATATCATGTGTGTATTAAATAAGTTAAAAATATAAACCCCTTATGTCTGGGCCTGATGTTGAGTAAATACTCAACACAGGTTAGCTGAACTTATGTTTTACAAAGCTATATTGAATAACATGTGCATTTGGATGCCAGCATCAGAGAACCCATTTCCAATCTTGTTTTGTTACTTCCTAGCTTGTCTCCTCCAGTAGAATGACAATTTTGTAAATCATCTTTCCCTATCATAGAATACAAAAACACATTTTTTTGATATGGGACTGCCATTATCCAAAGAAGTGACTGAAGCCCAAACTGTGTGCTTGTCTAACCCACACTATTAACCATCATTGTTTTATTTGCAGAATGACATGAATTACATCGCATCCAGTGGACTTTTATTTAAAGATGGCAAAAAGCGGATTGATTACATTCTGGTTTATAGAAAGTCAAATATACAATATGACAAAAGAAACACCTTTGAAAAAAACCTGAGAGCAGAAGGCTTGATGTTGGAAAAGGAGGTAGGTGACTTAATAACATTAACTATGTAATATAATATGCTGGAAGGGAGACATGTCTATCTTTCATGTTTTAATATGGAAAGTATGTAGCACGTGGCTTTATAAAATGTATAGTTCTTTTGTCCCAAATGTAAAAGGAATACAGACTATGCACAGTACCACTTAAATATGTATTCTTTTTGTACTCTCTATATTTCTGTAAATTTAAAATATTTTTCAAAGTGCATAACTATCTTTAAGTTGAAGAGAGAATAATTATACCAATGTAAAGTGCAAAACCCTATGAAATGAAAAAGATAATGTTGAAAGAAGAGAGTTTGCCAAACGGTTAATATCTGGGTTTTAATATTGGAAATATGAGTGACTGTGAAATATGTCTTCCTAATCCTTTTTCTTTTATGCTGTTTATAAAACTGTTTTTAGAACAGTTTTAGGATCACAGCACAACTGAGATGAAGGTACAGGGGTTTGTAGGTGCCCTGGCCCCTTCACAAGCATAGCTTCCCCACTGTCAACATCTCCTACCAAAGCAGTACATGCGTCACCTTGGGTAAACTTACTTTGACATGTCCTTGTCACTCAGAGGCCATAGTTTACATTAATGTTCCCTTTTAATGTTGTACCTGCTCTGGGTTTGGACATGTGTGAAGAATGGGTCCACGTTACAGGACCATACAGAGCACTTTACTTCTCTAAAAATTGTCTTTGTTCACCTGGGTATCTCTGCAACATCCCCAACCTTGGGTCTTTTGCTTGCTGCATAGTTTTGCCTTTAGCAGAGCATCATATAATGGAATCACAGTGTGTGTAGAGTTTGCAGATTGGCATTTCTCGCAGAGAAGTATCCGTTTCAGTTTTGTAGCTCTTTTCTTTTTAGTGTGGAATAATATTCCATTGTCTGGATACACCACAGCTTATTAATTTGTCCATCATGTACTGAAGGACACCTTGGTTAAATACGTGTTTTGGCAATTATGAATAAAGCATCTGTTGTACATCCTATGGGTAAATACCAAGGATTGCATTTCTGGATCTTATGGTAAGAGCATGTTCAGTTTTGTGAAAAACATCCAAACTGCCTCCCAGGATGGCTGTACCATTTTGCGTGTCCACCAGCAATGACTGAGACTTCCTGCTGCTTCACATCCTTGACAGCACTTGCTGTCATCAGTGTTCTGGACCTTGGCCTTGGTGACAGTTGCATAGTGGTGTTTTGCTTTATTATTTTTTCCTGATGACAAATGATGTGGATCAAATATTCATATGCCTGTTAGTTATATATGTATCTTTTTTGATAAGGTGACTGTTAAGATCTTTGGCCCATTTATTAATTGGGTTTTTTTTATTGTTGAGTTTTAAGAGTTCTTTGTATATTTTGGATAACAATCCTTTATCAGATGTGTCTTATATAAATATTTTCTCCCAGCTCTGTGGCTTGTGTACTTATTCTTGACTTTGTATTTTTTAGAGCAGAAGGTTTTATTTTAATGAAGTCCAGTGTTATAATTATTTCTTCAATGAACAGTACACTTGGTGTTGTATCTTAAAAGACATTAGCATGCCCAAGGCCATACAAGTTTTTTCCCCCCAGGAGTTTTAAAGTTTTTTCCTTTAAAGTTAGTTCTATGATCTATTTTTACTTAATTTTTTTGTAAAAAGTATAAAGTCTATGGCTAGATTCATTTTCTTTTTGTTAGCAGATTTCCAACTGTTCTACAGCCATGTGTTTAAAAGACTGTTTTTACTCCATTGTATTACCTTTCAGGTTGATATTATGCAGGTCTGTTCCTAGGCTCACTATCCCGTTCCACTGGTCCACTTGTCTATTAATTCACCAAACCTCTACTGTAGCTTTAGAGTAACCCTTTCAAGTCAGGTAATGTCAGTCCACTGGGAGAAAAAGAAACTAAATTCAGTGTTAGAGGAACCTCTAAATTATAAACGATGATACGTAACAGTTTTCTTATGAAAATGGTACAGATGATGCCAAAAAAAGCTTTGATGATTTATTTGTTTAATGATTTTCTAATAATCTTATCAATGAATAGAGTACCCACCAATACTTAAATAACATTAGAACCCCCTCCTTTCTTTCCCCACAGAACATTTCCTGTTACTAGTTTTCTGAGGAATACATATTAGGAAATGTGGCCCTAGGAAAAAAACCCAGTTTTAGTTATTAAAATGCTTTTTATATGCATAAAATAACAATCATGCAATGCCTTGAAACTGTTCAAGGTAAGGATTTATTCACATGTAACCTAAAGTTACAGAAGTGGTCAAATGGATTTTGATCTCATCTCAAATTCTATTGACTCCTTTATCTGTGATTCCCTTTCTATGCCTCTTCCAAGATTTTTAACCCAGAATATCCATGTCACTGGTAACTAATTCAATCAAAAAATATTTGTTGGAAAATTTATGAACTTAGGCTCTTCTTAATTTATTTCCTTGTGATTACATTCCTGTACCAAAAGAATCAGTTACTTCTTCATCTGTTTCCAGAGCAGCTAATAAACACATTTTATTAAAATGCTGGTAGTTGTTTTGCTCACATATCTCCAATTATTTGTTATTTCTGCAGTTTTGACTGGTATTGTGCAAGCTATTGGGGGGTCCTATGAGTAAAATAGACCATATACCCACTTTCACATAACTTGCAGTAGGTATAGAAGTCAGTCATGAAAACTGATTAATCAGCTCATAGTCATTATTTACTTTTCTTGGCAAAATGCCCAGATTCTCTTTTAAGTCCTCCTTTCCTTGTTCCTCTAGATTCCACGCCCCATCACCAAATAATCTTGGATGTTATTCATCCCAAAGGGGTCCTGTTCTGCTTCAAAAAAAATTGTTCATTCCAGAACTCTTACTCATTAGTCTCCGCTGAAAGATGCATGTTTGTTTTGTTCATGGGGGTTTTTTTTTGGTTTTGGTCTAGACTGGCTCTCAGCAAGTCAGTGTCCATGTGTGTAACACTGTCCCTGGACTCTCGGTTCAGCAAATACAGTTCTATCAATTCACATTCACATTTTACAATGGAAGATAAACTATAGATACTTGGTGGTGGTTTAGATATGGTAGGAAAGAAAAGGAAATCTTAAGGATAACTTGGGTTTCTGACTTGAGTCATCTCTTTATTTGTTCAACAGGCATGAGTGATGCACACATGTGTTCCGTATTCTGGGGATGAATAGGAACTGTGATAAGAATGTGTCATGTTCTCATGGAAGGAGAAAAAATAAATAGATAAGGAAAGTGACATAGTAAAAGACGTTACTCAATAATTCAAAGAGAATGTTATGTAGGAAATGTGACTAGGTGGTTATGTTATCATGTGTGATCTGAATGGGAAGGAGTCCATCAGAGGAAGACAATGGGGCTGAATGCCATCTGCAGAAGAAATACCTGATATACAACCACCGTTGACTAGGAACACGCTAATTTAGGAAGAAAGTGGGATGGGATTATGGAAATGAAAATCATGAACTAGTAATTGAGGTGACTTTGAGAAATACAAGTAGAAATGTTTCAAGTTTTTCCCTAGAGCTCAACTGAGGAATCTGAACTGAAAATATAAATGGACTATAATAGAAGTCATTTATTAATTTATTAGGACAAAAGCTGCTATAGGGGTAAGGGAAAATGAGCCCTAGAATGAGCCAGTAAAACATAGAAGAGGAGAAAAGTCACTTGAAGGAGCTGGAAGTAGGCAGAAAAAGGAAAAGAAGAGTCACAGGGAAGAGTGGTTGTCTGGGTAAATTACTACTGAAAAGTCTAGTAAGACAAGAAAGAGGCCTATTCCATTGGGCAACATGGAGATCTTTGGTAAAAGCAATGGAATCATTTCTCTGAGGAGAGGGACCTGCAAGCTAGATTATCATGAGTAGAAAAGTAAACAAATGAAAAAATAGAGGCATCTACAAATACCATCAGCTTGCTTATCTGTAAATGGGAGGATGAAGAGTAATAGCCAATGAGGGAAAAGAGATCTTGCCAAATTTTGTTCAGTTTACTTCCTGTCTGCCTCCCTCCTTTCCTGCCTCCATCTCTCCCTTCCCGCCTACCTCCCTCCTTTCCTCCTTCCCTCCTTCTCTCTCTCCCTCCCTTTCTGTCTCTCTCTCTCCATGAAAGAAAGATGGAAGGAGGAAAACAGGGAGAGAAGGGAAGGGAGAAAGATTGAGGAAACAGAAGAGAGATGAGATAAAAAAAATTAAAGGGTTTTGGGTCAAGGTGACAAGGAAGATAAAGTAATAGTTAGAATATCAAGTATCATACAAGGAAAAGGAAGGTTTCTGAATTAGATTTTAAAGTTAACTTTCTACAATTATTTCTTTCATTTGTGAAAGATATTTTTACAAAAGGTTCACCTTATGTTTTTAATTCTAAAAGTAATGACATTGATTTTTTAATAGCTGAGTTAATTAGTACTGGATTAATTATCCCAGTGTTAGTGTATAAAATCAACCTGCTATGACAAATGCAGTCTCACTGAACCAAAACATAGTTCTACAAAAAGTATGTTAACATTGTATCCTAAAAATGATTACCTTAAGATTTCATATGAGATTTTTAATACTATTTTTGTATTGAGTTTCTATTGCTGCTTAACAAATTACCACACATTCAGCAGCTTAAAACAAAACCCATTTATTAACACACAGTTCTGTAGGTCAAAGCTTAGGGCATGACATGGTTGGGCTCCTTGCTCAGTTTCTCACAAGACTTAAATCAGTGGGTTGGCCAGACTCTATTCCCACCTGGAACTCCAGGCTCCCTCAGCTTATATGGTTGTGTCAGTATTTCATTCCTTGGGGTTGTAGGACTAAGGTTCCCGTTTCCTTGATGACTGTCATCCAGGTACTGTTCTCAGCTCCTACAGGCCGTTCTCTTTCCTGTCCCCATGGCACAGCTCCTCAATTTTTAAAACCAACAATGGAGAATCTTCCTTGTGTCTTCTGCTCTTTTCAGTCTGTCTTGCCAGAAGGAGTCCATTTCCTTTTAGGGGCTCATCTGCCTTGAAGGATACTCTCTTTTTCTTAACAGTAAATATAATATATAACATACCGAATCATGGGAGTGAATATTTCATCATATTCACATGTCCCCAGGTTGGTCCAGGACCAGGACAGCAGCAGAGAATGAGGATCTTGGAGAAAGTTTTACAATTTTACCAGCCACACTATTAAAAAAATATCAGTGTCATGAAGAAATGTATTGCCCTTCTAAGGAAACAGAAAGGAACTTACCTCTATGATGACAAGTTAAAATCTAAATATATTTTCAGCTTAAATCTTATGTTAACTGATGACTAACTGGTATGTAAATCATCTATTTGAATTACCTAATTCAGCATTTTACATTATCATAACTATTTATGGCCTTTGATGGCAACTTAATTTTAATCAATATAAATTGAAAATATTTAGGGCTTGTGACAGGCAGAAAACAGACAATGAAATTGTGAAAATAGCTGCACTATTGGATTTTAGCTGAAAATGAGAGTGTTTCTTAATAAACAGTCCTCAATTTCCTAGGTTTATGTACATTTACCAAAGCTAAGCACTGCGCATGGCACAGAGTAGGTCTCAAATCCTCATTCAATTGCATGGTGATGTCAACAGATTTTAGATGGTCACATCAGTAGGGGATGATGCATATTTGAAGGCCACATGAATGAACAGGTAGATGACCTCTCCCTGTCAGGGAGGATGCTTTGTTGTCCAATTTAATTGCCATATCATGTCAACAATCTCTCGTTATCTTGAACTCAATACCATGAGCTCCACATTCTATTTTCTTTCAGTTCTCTGACACCAACTTGCAGAGTGACTTTGTAAAAACAATTTTTAAATGTTGTCTCCTCTCAAGTGAATGTTCTACCTCTTGAGAATTTTGGGTGGAACAATTAAATAATGATGTGAAGTGCAAAGGCAGTGGGTGTTCTGTGCCCTCAGAGAAGCCTGTCTTCACCAGAGTTGAACAGGATAGTGCCAGATTAGGAGGAATTTCAGTTGCAAAAGAAAGTAATTTTTCCCCCTGACAAATAATCCCTTCACCAACCCTCTGCTCAGTAGCTACAAGAAAATAAAACTCATTTTTAAGTAATTTTAAAAAGGAAAATTAATTTAAGGAAACTGTAAAAGAAAACAATTTATATTGCCCAAAAAAATCTTCATGTATTTAAAGATATACAAAATTAAACATGTTCTAGCTCTCTGTGCACTTAGCTTGATGTTTTACTCATGTATGATAATGTAGAAACATCCCCCCAAAACATCTATTTTATTTAAGTGTATTAATTGTTTCACATTTTAGAGGTTGATAGAAATGAGTTAATCAGTCCTAAGCCATCTATTCATTCATGATGCTAGTTTGATTCCTCGCATAGTACCTCTTCCAAAATAATTCTGGCTTAATTTCTTTCCTATCTCCACTGTTTCTTGCTTAGGTGCAAGTTACATACAATGGACTCAAAATAAGTTACATCCACACATTCATTAAACATTTGCCAATTTTTGTTTTCATCATTCTTCGGCTTCATTTAAAATAAACATTTGATGTAGGGAAGGTCTTTGGAAATTGCACTGAGATGAAAGCATCTTTTGCTATTTTTCCCATGGTGGTTTGTAAATTACTGGTGGTTTTGTAAATTACTGGTGGTTTGTAATTTCCTCTTCCATTGAGCTACAGGAAGAGGAAAACAACAATTCCTGGTCCAAAACAGTGGACATTCAGCTTGCTTTTTTCACCTTTTGTATTGTTTAGCAAGTACATTCATATTGAAATGTCTGAGAAGTTTTCTAGTGGGGAACCCAAAACTAACTTGACCATGGAATACACACCCCTTCCGGCACTTCTTCTTTTTGTAATACTCTGTGAAATAAGCTCTGGCAAACACTGGTCCGTGGAAGTGCCTGCCCTATGACATCAGTGGTGAGGCTGTCTTCTACACCTGAGTGTTAGTCCAATGGATGACTCGTGGTGCTGCAATAATCCTGCTTTAAAATGTTGCTGATACAAATTTAAAACATTGCTCTGGCAAACTTGTGAAATTAGCCATATCTACTAAAGTATAGGGCTTTATGAGTAGAGGTATATAAAATTAAAAAGCTTAATTTTAAAAGGTATGTAATTTTAAATTAAATTGATACATTTCTTCCATACTTTTGAGTTTTTAAGACTGGTATGTTTCTTGAGAAGTTCTGTCTAGTTGAAATTTAAATGAACAGTGTTAACCAAATGGAGTCCCTCTGTGTCTAACCTGGCAGGTGTGTCTAAATGGGAGCAGAGGCACTTCCTCCACTGTACATGTTCAGCTCCTCTAATAAGAGGAAGGAGAATCCCTGTGGCCGCAAACTTCTTAGCTCTGTGGACCTCAGATACTGTAGGAGCTTCCAAAAATGACCATCTAGACATGTTTTTGTTTAAGTAGAATATGAACGTGAAGAATGTAAAATGCCAAAGTAGTCGATTATTTAGTAGACTTGTGTTAGACTATTGGACCACATGTTAGAATCTCAATGGCTTGCTCGAAGAGGCATCTGGTCCTCTTAGTGATCTGAGCAAAATATTCAGAACAGTGGGATCCAATTATGAGAATTCTTAATTGGATTAAGAATAATCCAATTGGATTAATTGGATAATTAGAACAAGGTATGCAATTTTATTAAAAGCTTCTTAGATAATTCTGATGTACATATGACTCTGCTTTAAAAACTCTTGTCTAGATCAAGACACTGAAATTCTTATGATCTCTTTATATGGGAAAGAGTGGACTAAAAAATTAGGATAAGTGGGCAAAATTTGACAGTTTTGTAAAGTAATGGACTTATATATGTTATGCTCCATTTTCCTCCCAGGATATCCACAGTACCCAGCAAGTAGTAATTACTCAATTAAATATGCTAAAAGAATAAGTGAATGAAACAGTGAATGCCTGGTGGCAACTGCCCATCTCTTCTGAGCAAGAATGGGAGGAACTTGATAAATTATCCAGCGAAAATAACTTTAGATTTCTAACTGGATCGTAATTTTTCTCACTGGGGATTCCGGATCTTGATAATGATCAGAATAAGAAAATGCACTAAGTTACATCGGTGATTACTTCTTGTATGTGATGGCGTTATTAAATTTGTATTGAAGATTTTTACATGTTAAGAATTTTTATTCATAAAAATCACTTGTAGATTTATGACGATGGCCCATGTGTAGACAAGAGGACAGTGTTCTTTCCTCTCCAATCCAATTTTCCCATGATATCATCAGCTCTGACGATAAATAATGGTGCCTGCCCTGCTCTCCTTTTCAGCCAGCTGTTGCAAACACTGATATCATGTTTATCAAAATTCACATTCCATGGGACACCCTGTGCAAGTATGCAGAGAGGCTGAATATCAGGATGCCCTTCAGGTACTTGGAAATTTTATTTCATTTTCTCTCAGTATATATTAAGCTCAATCTTTCTGCAGAACTTTACGGCAATAAATGCAATTCTTTCAACAAGGGAAATGCTTTTTCTTCCAAAGGTTAGGTAATCTGGGACACATTTTTTTTTCATTATAATTTGCTTGCCTAATGTGGCAAATCTTCTGCCTCCCTAGGTACTTTATATTATTTCTAGGTGGACTTTTCTAGAGCAAGAGAAAAAGTTGTTTCCAAATTTTAACTGATAACATGATTCTCAAGATCAACCTCATTTCTTATTTCTTGTGGGTAGATAGAACTCTCCTTGTTTTCATGGAAGACAGGAGGTGTAAGTATGTAGTATTCTCAAGTAAACAAATGCAGTGTTCTTCTCTGGGTAGCAGTTAGGAAGAATCATCCCTCAGATGCAATTCAACCAGACGGTTTCTTAGCTCTGCCCTCAGTATCAAAGGAAAATTGTAATGAGATGCCTGCTCAGTTCAAAGATTATCAGTCTGTCCTGTAGACCAGCAAATATTAAATAGACATAATTTCCTATGTTGCAGAATGTTTCCTTATCCATCATCGCTTACCAAAATAAAATTCAACGGTTTTCCTATTATGTGCAAAGTGTTAACTCACATTGAAGATATGAACAGTTACATTCATTCGGAGCTCAGCATGCTTTATCAGCTCCTAAGAATGTTTTAAAAGGTTCGGAGTAACAATATACCAATAAAAAGAGCCTCTAAATAATTAATATGAATGAACAGTAGGAGCACAATTCAAAAATATGGAGAAAATTCTTATACCCAGTAGCATAAAAGAGGCTAACTCTGGGAAAGTACTGACATCAATAAGCCTTATGATATTATGCCCTGGTAAGGATGCATTTGAAAGAAGAGTTCTGAGACGTGCAAAGAAAGAAATATAAAAATCATGAAACTTGTGTCTGAATTTTGTCTTTATACTATATTTTTCTAAATAATGTTTACAATTGCTGTATCATGATTTAATAATAACATATAAGAAAATATGCAACATTTTCCAAAATATATCAAAATAATGCCAGTTTCACAGGCTCAGTAGAAAAATATCCTTCGGAATTCTGAGTTACACAATGCTTCTTCAGGGTAGGAATTTTTAGAGAAGTGGTTATCATTCTCAGTCTTCAGAGTGCATCAAAATCACTCAAGAAACTTTGTAAAAATTAAGGTTTTTGGAACATACACCAGGATATTCTGGCATATAAAGTCTAGGACAGACTTGGGTATATACATTTGTAACAAACATCCCAAATGATTCTGATGCAGATGATAAAGAACTATCGTCTCAGAGATTATAATATTTTAACAATTACATAATTTTTATGAATTTCAAGAGACAGTTATACAGAGTAATGTTCCCCAAATTCCTACCTGATAATGAATTTTTTAAAAATTTTAAAATGACATTATCCTTGGGAAAGTAGTTAGAGGAATGCTGGAATACAGACTTCTTTTGGAACATCTTTCCAGATGAGCTTAAATAATAAATACAGCATTACCTAACTCCTTAGTAATCAACTACTCATTTATTCATGATATCCCTGAAATTGGGGATAGTTCTCAGCTCATAAAAAGAGAATGCTAATCAACCATAAACTGCATAGCAAAATGTTTCATGGTGGCCAATTCACTTTCCAACTGTCAACTGTTAGCACGTTTAAGAACATATATGCTGTCTTTAAATATACAAAAATAGCAAAGAACTTAAATAGGAAAATGCATCTCTTTTTAAAGATTTATGCATAAAAATGTGGCTAATCTACATATTTAGTCAATGTTGAAATATACATGTTATATTCCACAAAAAATCTGCAAATTTATTCTGAAAAAATATTAGAGTTTTAGCACTGCCTGCAGAAGTTTTCAGCTGACTTGTACGACCATGAATCTTGACCAATTTATCTGAATTTTTGGATTGAATGTATGTGTAAAATTGTACGTATCTATATTTTCTAGCTAGCTCTTTGCTTGAATATTCTTCCAAAGTAAATATGGCCTAAATATTGGACTCGATGTTTCAAAACTCACCAAGGGAATTTCAGGGAGTTAAAAATACTCTACATTTTCACATGTTTATCCTGTCAGGGAGGACTTAACCTGTCCTGTCTACATTCCAGAAATACCAACTCCGACTTTCATTATTTTTCTTTGAATTCAAAGGTACTCCCTATTCATTCTTACCTCTCTTTCACCTTAAAAGTGTCAAACATGTTTTAGGATGATTCAGTAGTCATCCTAAATGCTTCTCAGGCTGAGTTCCAAGGTGGGGCCAACCTTTAAATCTTTTCTCCAACTTCCCCCACAAATATTTTAAATACAGCAAATTTGGGGGAGTATTTTCAACTTCTTAAGAACCATCTTTTTTCTAGATAAAATAAATATTTTTATCGCAATTGGGATTAAATTTAGATCACTTTTTATGCAAAGGATGCCTTATTCAAAAATAAAATGATATGAAAATATACAGGGAGCCTAATATATAGAATAAATAATAGGGGAGCAACTGTGCTTGACAAGAAGCCAGAGACCCAGGGTCCCATCTAAGTGACCTGCCTCCTCTCTTAGCCCTGTGTTCATTTTTGCATGCGGCTACTTGACTATGTTGAAACTGGTTGGAAATAGCATTGACATAATTATTTACTTATAATTTCGAGTGATTGTGGAACAGTGGGTAGGTAGGTAAAATTGATAAATGCTGCCCTAATGCAAATTGTAAAATAGCCGACATTTTTCAAAGGAAAAATAAAGAAAGCTCTGTACCCAAATAATACACAGTTAGTGCATTACAGGATGGAGCATTAGGGGTAGCAAATGATTTGGTTCTGCGGGTTCATTTCTGTAGAAAAATACAGAATGGCAGGTGATTATTAACTTCAGTGTACACTTGTATATCGCTGGGGGTATGTAATTAAAAATAAAATCTCCCCCAATCCAGAAAACTGCTCCACAAATGTAGAAGAGGAAAAAAACACTTTTGTTTTTGAATAAGCATTAAAATAGAATGGGATGTGCATCACAGGCAATTCGCCAAGAAATTGCAACAACATAAAGAAATCACAGCTTTTTACATAGCCAGACAGTACAAGCCATGACTGACATGCTCTCAAGATAAACATAGCCAGCCCTGGCTTGTGAAGCTCAGTGGATTGAGTGGGAGCTGGGAAGCAAAGGGTCACCAGTTCAATTCCCAGTCAGGGCACATGCCTAGATGGCAGGCCACATCCCCAGTAGGGGCCAGATGAGAGGCAACCACATATTGATGTTTCTCTCCCTCTCTCCTTCCTTCCTTTCTCTCTAAAAATAAATAAATAAAATATTTTTTAAAACCAGTCCTCAAGTAAAAGGACTCACCAGCACTAATTTTCACATAGTTCATCCTAGATTCTATTGGTAATCAGGGTGTTAGTTAATAGGAAAATTTGTGTTTCTTATTTTAATTTTTATTTGCTCTTATAATGTAGTGGTTTTAAAGCTATGTATATTCATCTTGTATGACTTTTTTTCCTTTATTTGCTCCAAAACATTTCAACAAATTTTTTAAATGTTTAAAAAACTATATCAAAATAGCAAAAAAGAGCAGGGCTTAATCCAAATGCTCTTTGATTGTATAATATGTCTTATTATGCCCAATACTTATACTATTATCTTTTTCTCCTCTTAATCACATTTCTAGATATTTGATATTAAAATTAAACTAATTTCTACTTTTGTAGTTTTCTAATAGTATCTTATCAACAAATGCTTATTGAATGTAGTGTTTTCAGGCACTGAAGGAGATAAACACAACTCCGAATTAAATGAAGGCTCACTCATTCACCAGCCATCTTAGCGCTCATTACTTATCAAATAATGTGGCAAGTATACATTGGGCATACAAAGTCAAATGAAATAGAACTACTGTCTTCAAAAAGCTCAGTGTCCTACAAAAGATAGTCAGTGAACAGTTGTATAACAATGGGAAAAATAGTGCAAGACAGTCTTTATAGAGGAGATTCAGAGTGAAGATGGGTTTATAGTCCAGTAGGATTGAATGATGCATGCACACAAAAAAATGTATGTTTGAAAAAATGAAGGGAGAAGGTAATTTAAAATGCGAGTTTAGAATACACATAGCAAACTTTAAAAGCTCAAACTTTGAATTTAGTGGTTAGTATGTCGGGACGACCTAAAAACGATTTTCTAGTCATAGGACCAGTGATTGCAATGAAATGTGGTAGCTAAGAATGTTTTCTAGTTTGCTAAGCAGTTGACACAGGAATGCATATAAAGTGTCCTGACTCTCAGCCGTGCTTTCTAGATACCACACTGATACTCTGTAATGGGTTTCGTGAGTGGGGATACAGAGACTCAGGATGACGTTCCCCAGCTCCAGGATGAGGATGCAGTGAGGATCTTTGAAGAGATTAATTAACCTCTGTCATTAGAATTTTTAGTTTCTCTAAAATAAGACATGTTCCACATCTACTTAAAACACATATCTTCCCATTGCATTTCATCCAAAACCCGAGCATTAGTGGTCAGACTCCTCATTATCTGTGCCTCGTTCACCATGCCCCCATGTCTTTTATCACTATCCTCAACTCAGAATTTCTGCTCCAGTGATCACCTAATTAGTCGCAGCTTCTGAATCTTAACAATGTTTGTTCTTGGTCTCATAACTACTTCATATGCAATCTAGAAGGCCAGGTCTCAAGGGTCACTCAGAAGACTAGGCTCACTCAGAGGACTACGCCCACTCAGGCTTCCAGATTCAACACAGACAGCACAGCCTCTGGGAGGGTTTCCCTGTCTCCTTTCTCTTCCTCTGCAGAAACTTAGGGAGATTCCTTCCTAGGTACTTCCACAGAATTCTGCTTTTCTACATTGGCACATTTTATTATAACTATCACTTGTCTTCTCAATTATAAAGGAAGCTCCTTAAGGATAGAAACACTCTTTATTCTCTAAATTTTTAGAGGTTATACTTTAACATTCCTTGCAAAGTCAGAAATATTCATTATCTATGTGTTTAGATGGAGGGATGGATGGATGGATGACTTTGTATAACAGATACTGTAGTTAATATGAATCATGTAGCAGAAGTGAGACCTTAAAAAAAGCATGAAAAATCAAATATTTAAAGTGATTTATTGATTTATGACAGTGTTTTATTTTTAGTGATTCAGATTTTGAAATTAAAACACTGTAAATTTTATATATGATACTGGTTGATTTCATGTATTTCTTAAGCATATGGAAGTTGGAATATTGAAATGCACAAAATGATTGCATGTTGTCACTCACTGGTTTCACTGTTTTCATGTGACTTCCCCCAGCTGATTTCTGTTATTTTTCAGGAAAAAATCCTATTACACTGACCCGAGGAGCAAATCAACGGGCAGGTTGGTGGGTGATACATAATTTGTTTATGATTAATTTGTCATTTGGGGAAAAAATAGAAAGACATTTGATTACCCTTATCAGCAGTTGTAAATTTTAGGGGAAAAACACTTTATTGATTTATTCAATAGATTTCAAAAATGATGTGCCAAATTTAACAATGTTTAAAAACAGATAATCTGTTTTATTTTAATGGACCATTGACATTCCTGCAATCCTCACTTGATATATTTGCAAGTTAGCATTTTAGAAGATTTTAATTTTTGAAAATAGTTATAAAACCAAAATTGATAGGTAAATATTGACCCACTAGAGTAATAAAACAGCAGACCCAACAGAGACATTCTGGATCATGTGACCCAAATCTCTTATTTGACCAAAATGGTAAAGGAATGACTAACACTCACAGTGATTAATTGCCAAACAGCACCTTGGAATCACAGAACTACTCTTATTCCACTACCTGAAGCTGCCTTTCTTACCCTAATATTGAAAACAAACTTCTCAAGAGCTTTCATCCCAAAACAGCAACTCTCACCAGTTTGGGTAACAGCAGCTATGATAGAGGAATTCATCAAACCACAGCCTGAGACAGGAGAAATTGTCCCACCTGAATTGCCTTGGCCCCATTTTCCTGGAGGAACTGTTTCCTTTTAAGGAATACTAAAACAAAAAGCTTTTTACACCTGGCGGTTTTTCTGCTCGTTTCCATAAAAATCAATTAACAAAATCAAAATGTGAATGTAGTGGAGTATGACCTATTGAGTAATATTATAGGATACTGCAAGTCAGAATGGCACAAAGTAGAAGATTCATGTAGTGTAAATATCAGGCCATTTTAGGATAGTTCTTCTAACAAGAAGATGGCTGACTATAATTTAGAATTTTTACAATAAGAAATATTTCAATTTAAAAATTTTAAACATTAAATTTAGGCCTGGTAGAGATTGATGACAAAACAAATGAATTGTGAAGGGGGAAACTTAATATTAGAACAAGTATCAAAGGGGTTAGTACTCAAGTAGCTCTTTTAAAAAACTGTGATCCTCAGCTATGTCAGGTTTTTCTTTTTTTGTCCAGTTAGCATGCCCAGAATCAGAATGAACTTTCATCACTTCCCTTGTGCCTATTTGGTCCTGATCTATGTAGCAAATTTCAGTTAATTTTCATGTAATAAAGCCAAAGTCATTAGAATATTATAACTTATAAATTTACAACTGCAGATTTTTCTGGGTTTTTTTCCCTGCATGCTCCCGCTTAATGTTGGATGAGTTGAAAAATGCCTGATTCACTTTTGTTTGCTCTATAGAATTAGTGAGATTCTGCTGCTGTATAATTAGTGGGTTTTCTGATAAACAGGCGTCTGTATTTTAAAGACTTACAGAAGGATGAAATTCTGTATTCTAAAATAGCAACAAATGTCTATTTATGTAATATGGTCATAATTCAGTTTTGAAATAAACTTGTGTTTGGAATGACCAATAAACATTTATATATTAAATCCTAAAGAAACAGCCCTGGCTGGTGTAGCTCAGTGGATTGAGTGTGGGCTGTGAACCAAAGGGTCACCAGTTCAATTCCCAGTCAGAGCACATGCCTGGGTTGCCAGCTAGGTCCCCAGTAGGGGGCATATGAGAGGCAACCACAGATTGATGTATCTCTCCCTCCTCTTCCCTGCTCTCTAAAAATAAATAAATAAAATATTTTAAAAACTCCTAAAGAAACAACATTTTAATAGTAGAAAAACGTTTTTTTTCTATTTTGGTCAAATTCAAAAGTAAACAAAAAATGAACACTATACTGTGTCCTATGTTTTATTATCCTTTGCATTCACAATTTTCTGTTTCATGAAATGAAAATTCAGTTGTCAGTTGTTTCAAATGATTACTAAAGTCTCTTAAATGCTACTATAGTCAACCTTTTTACCGTTTACTTTTTACAAATATTCCCGCTGTCCCTTTACTTTGTGGATGCATATGGAGAGGGTAGTGAACAAATAGGAAAGGGGATTGTGAAAGTTATTACATGTTAAACTGAGAAAAGGTCATGTTATTCGCCTTAATGTAGAGTTTCAGTTAAGGAAATGAATGATCTTGATGTTTAAAAAAATTTACCATTGAAGAAGAAAAATTTAGTGGAGGGGTGTGTGTGTGTGTGTGTGTGTGGTCATCATCATTGTAAAGTTACAAAACCCAATCTGTAGATAGTTAGAAAGAGGGAGATAAAATCAATTATGTGCACTTAGATTTCACTTGCATTTTTTCTTTCTTGAAGTGGGAAAGGTATTTTGTGCAGGGGTATTTTAGCCAATAAACATGAGGTGATAATTAATGTGCAGGCAATTACTCAGATTTTGAAGTTCATCCTTTCTCCTGACAAGTCGATAGGACAGGGTTATAGTTTTACTATTGCTGCTGTTTGTCTTTTGTTTACAATGCACTTCCACATTCAATTTTTAAAGACTCTTTGAAGTGACCCTTCAGGAAAGCATAACAAATTGCAACTGGTTTTGGAGATTAGGAAAAAATTGATGACTCTATCATCACTGCTCCCCACCACCTCATGCCTCAACCTCCCGCCCTCACAGCCGGTATGACACAGTCTGGGCTCTGACCAAGTATTTTTGCCTTTGTAATTCAGATTTCTTTTCACTTTCTCCTGGAAACAGGAAGAATGCATGTGTGCTATTGTGAGTGCGGGTGTGTCTTATGTCTTTTTGGAACTCTGTTTTGGAATGGCGGTGGAAGGTAGGCATTACTCCAGAATGCATCCTCATTCAGTGCTAAAATGTGACTTTGTTCCAGTGTACACAACTATTATAGAAGACTCAAAAAATGGATGTCTCAAAACCCAATGGTTCTGGACAAGTCAGCGTTTCCAGACCTGGAGGAGTCAGACTGCTACACTGGCCCCTTCAGCCGTGCAAGGATTCACCAGTGAGTCCCCACCTGTTTGCCCCCACTACCTGCCGTGGTATCTTTCATTACCAGGAGTTGTTGATATAATCAGAATAGCTGGGAACAGTCCTGCGGTTTGCCGAATAAGTCGGAGAATATATCCTTTTTTTTTTTGAATATATCCTTTTATTAAAATGTACACTTAACCTAGAACAACCCTCAGCAAACATTATTAATTAATTATCAACTATGATTTAGAGACATTCCAGCAGTGAATAATTAATTGTAAACTCAGGGAATGACAGTCTAACTCCTAATTCTTTGAAAATAATTACTATGGTAGGAAGTCAGTTAATGTAACAAAAGTAACAAAAATGATGACAATATTAATAATAATAATAGAATTGATGTTAAATAACATGCTTGAGTAATATTGGTCTAATTAATAAAATATGTTTAAAATTATAATTAATTAATAATATTTGTTTACTCCATTATAGTTTAATCTTATTAAACTAAGGCAAATAAGAATTTTTCAGGGATTTGTTACATGACTGTCTATCTACCAACATACAATATCTCCTTCATTTACTAAATTACTATTCGTTAAGTTTCTACATGATGCAGATTGAGGGTATGGCGCAGTCCCTGCTTTCACAATCTACTGGGTCAGACAAAAAGGTAAAGTTAATAGTTAAACAAAATAAGATAAACATGAAGATGGAGAAATTTGCAGTATAAGATAGGTCTGCAGGTGCAATATCAATTCGCTATACACGGTTTTGAATTGACTTATCTTCTGGGATGTTGGAAGTTGAGATGCAGGATGAAACAGAATTCCTGACCACCAAACATGTAACCAAACCAGTAATCCATGGACAACCCTGTCTTTCCAAATATTTTATTTATGCTCTTATTTACTCTTACAGGTGAATCTGGAAGCATTACTTTTTTAATTCCAGCTACAAGAAATGGAGGGAAGGGTGGAAATCCAAATGACTTTCACATTTAGAGACAGGTTGCAGTTTCACAGAAGCTTCTTTAGCTATTTATTGTACTTTTTCAAGCTCTGTGATACACCAAATTTTTTAAAAATCTGCTCTTTCTCTTTGAATCTGAGAAACTGGGGCAATTTTCCAACAATCTCAATCATATCATGAAACTGTCTTGCTTAAATTCCCCCCAGTGGACTCTCATTTACACTTATAATGAAATTCAAATTTTTTATCAGCTACCATGTGGCCATAAATGTTGTGGACCTTGTCCAACACTATCCTCTCATCTTCCACAATTTCCACACCATCTACTTACTTCAGGGACACGAGCTTCAGTTCCACCCACTGAACGCTCAAGCTTTATTTCATCTCAGAGTTTTTGTTCTGGCCATTCTCTTTTGCTAATATGCTCTTCCTTCACATGGCCTGTCTTTTCTTATCATTCAGCTCCCACTCACAACCAGTAGCTCAGGGAGCCCTTCTCTGAAAATCTTATCTGCAGCCCCCTTTTCCTGGTCATACTATATGCCATTAAGCAGTTTCCTCTTTTCTTTATATTAGCAACTCCTGAAATTGTGTAGCTGATTTCTTTACTTATGTATTATCTGTTTCCTTCACTTGTAATATCACTCCACAGAAAAAGAATGTATCTGTTAAAAGATACTTGTTCCAAAAATTCTAAATCAATCTGATGGTAAAATAATTGATGGACATTTCTTCTTATAATTAACAGGACATAAGAACTTTTGTTAACTCAGTGCATCCAAGTACAGAAATAAAAAGAACAATATCAGAATATTGGAATGACTCTGGGTCTAATAAAATGGACAGGTATATAGGTTACCATAGTACAAGGCAGAGTAAAATTAACACATTAGGAAAGATACAGATGAAATGTACATTTTTGTAAGAGAGGGAGGAACCATACCTACAAGAGAAGATCCAGCAAACCCTTATGAAGGAGCTAGTTCTTTTCAGCAGGCAAAAGTGTGGACGGAGGTGGTGAGAGGTAAGAGAACAGATATGAGAAACGGAACAAAATATTGAGGTAAAGAAAGATGGGATTCCATGGTGACGATCAGTTCTACATTTCGGCAGACTAACAGATATAAGAAGCCAGAACTATAAGACATAAGACAAAGAGGGAGGTTGAAATGCAAGAACAAAGAGCCCTCAGAGGAAAATAAGAAATTTAATTATGCATATTGGAGAACTGCTGACCCATGAATAGTAGGAGTCCACCAAGGGTCAGAGCGGGCATTAAAGTCAGGTGGGAAGTTGCGCAGCCAGGTCAGAGGGCCTTCTTTTCATAACCTAAGCAAGAGGCAATGAGACCCAGAACCAGATGGATACAAGAAAGCCAGGGGGAGGCAGTATAGTTAAAAAGTTACCTTGTGTGGTGCCGACTCTCTGAATATGGATAGGGAAGAGAAAGCAAGGATCAGAGAAGACCTAATACTTCAGGACTGAGTCTGAGAAAAATGGTGGTTTATCATTCACAAAGATAAAGCAACTGGAAACAGACGTTGTCAGCAGTGGAGTGAGAGCCAGAAGGCTTCCATTTCTTTTGAGGCTCCAGTGCTAAAAACAGACCCTTCCTCTCCTCCTGGGATCACCCTGTTGCTTTTCATGTCATTGACTCTAACGTGGTTCCTCTCCCCATGGAGGGACAGAGTAGGGCCTGAAGGGGAAGGGAGAGCAATTGCTCGTTGCTGAAGTTCTGTAAGATAAGCTTGCTTGGAAAGCGTGGCATGGGGAATTACATCAATTTTTAATGTGCTCTCTTTGGAACTACATTGCTTAATTAAAATGTACGGGAGCCCATGGAAACTCCTTGTTCAATGCCAAACAAAATCATGATGAAGGCACCCAGGCCTTCTTACAAACCGAAAGATATTAACACGAATATTTGATGATACCCTATATGATGTGTATTTAATTTTTCTCTGCTGATTGATTTTCCTTTTTAAAGAGGATGGTTTATTTTCTGATTTACTCTACTTCACATACATTAGTATAAAGGAGAAGACAGATGGATGACTGCCCAGGAAGTTCTTCCTATTGCTGGATTCTATGCTCTGCTCTGACTATTAAAACCAATCCCCCTGTCTTCACAGCTTCATAATAAACAATAAGGACACCTTCTTCAGCAACGCTACTCGAAGCAGGATAGTCTATCACATGCTGCAGCACACCAAATACGAGAACGGAATATCAAAAGTGGGTAAGAATGCTAAATAATAATGCAGAGAGAGGAGAATTAGCAGTTGCTAATGTTACCAAGAAATATTTAACAACCGAAGCGTCACCTTCAGGCATTAAATATGAACATGTAACACACTGAGCACAAACTCTAAACATTCTATTTTTTTGCCTTTCAATAAAACAAACAAACTCTTTTAAGAACATTTGGCCATATGTATCAAAATGTGAAATGTACAAACACTTTGGAAGAGAAATTTTGTTCTTGAAATGTATTCTAAAGAAATAATCAGATTTTGAATAACAATATACAAAGACATTTGTTCATTGTGGCTTTGTAGTAAAATGAAACTGGAAATTCTGTAACCGTCCATCATTAGGAATTGGCAAATAAATTACATTACATCCACACAATATATCTATTAAAAATTAAATAATACAATGAATTCTCAACACCACTATCCTTTTGAGATTTTTTGAGGGGTGGAGAATTTCTCTGCTCCCTTCACCAAATTCTGAATTGAGGAAAAAGTTACTCTAGGCTTATGTGACCCCCACTGAGTTGATGTTATAATCCCCCCATTTCATGATGTGGTGAAGTGAAATCTTATGTTAGCACCTTGCAGATCTCCCCGTATTAATGTCGTAAGGACAGAATCAGACTCTCAGCGTCAGTCTTTCACAACCTCGGTGTCCTCATAGGTGAGGTGATTAGGGAAGTCATTTTGTTTATTCTATGTTTTTAAAGTAGCTTTTTGTTCGAAGAGCATGCATGTTGCTTCAGAAGAAAGTCTTCATCTAAACTAACTCAAGAACGGTCCTTTTTTCTCTTTTCAGGTATCTGTAAACTGATAAACAATGGCTCATATATAGCAGCTTTTCCCCCACATGAGGTAATTTTGAAATACAATTTCCATTACAATACAGTGAGTTTCTCATGCTCAATGCTTGATCCCATTTTATTTCTAAATTTAAGTCTAGCTGCCCTGTCTCGAGAAGGTTCAATCAGCAATTGGCCCTGGGCTTTTCTGAACCCCCCCCCCCCCCCCCCCGTAACATTCGGTGGCTGTACATGGGCTTCTCTGCTCCAGAGCCTTCCTGCCATTTGCCCGCATCAGGATGCCCGGCCTTGGAGGGAACTCATGCGCACTGCTCAGCCACGGCCACTCTGGCTGATGCCTCTACTCCAACACACACCATTCCCATGGGCAGGTCCCTGGTTTGTACTTACTGCATTGGGGTCCCTGAAAGTCAAACCCACGTAAAACCTACAGCCCATTATGTACTTGAGTGTCTGCCTGGTGTTATCTCTTCCAATTTTAACTAGAAAAGCCTTCTCTAAGCTGTGGTAGGCTTTGCCTGCTGAGTCTTGAATTAAATTTGAATCAGTTATCAGTTTTAACTCCACCATGTCCCCATTCCTGCATACACACACACATTGCATTAATTTAAAGGCAAATCTGAATTTTCATATAAGAATGGAGTCATTACAAACTTCACTTTTGTACTTTCAAAACTGGTCATTGTTTTATGTACTAAGGCTGTGGACTCCCGGAAGTTCACAGTATAGTACAGCCCAGAACAGATAAAATGTGTTGAGCACTTACTGTTTGGCACTGAGCTAAATGTTTTATATGGTTTAACTCATTTGATCTTTCCAGAAACTCTTTGAAATAGACAGTGGCATTAACTCCATTTTATAAATAAATCATTGAGGCATAGAAACATTAGGTTTCAAAGGTACAGTTTTGAGCCCTGGAAGCGGCTCCAGTTTCTCTCAGTGATGGCAAAGTCATTGTGTTTATCGATAGACCTTAGGTACCAAAGAGTAAAGTCTAGTTTACTTTAAGTGAAAGGAATCTCATTGGTTTAAGAAGGAATTGAAGAGATGATTTTTTAAGAACTATCAGTATTTTCAATGAATGAGAGATATATAAAGACATCATCATTCCAGAGTTGAGCTTACGTTTACAATTTCTGAAGCTTTCAATAAATTTTTGAATTATTCTATAAGAAAAAAAACAAAAGCAATTCCTATTTAGTTCAGATTTTAGTAATAGAAGGGATATCTATTTATCTCATTGTATCTGTTTCAGGGAGCCTACAAGAGCAACCATCCCATCAAAACTCATGGGCCTCAGAATAACAGGCATCTATTATACGAGCGCTGGGCACGGTGGGGAATGTGGTACAAGCACCAGCCCCTGGATTTAATCAGGTACCACGTATGAATCGATAGCGGAAGGCATATGCTGTTTCGTTGTCATTTTCTTAGATATGGAATGATTTCATTTACTCATCAGAATGCAATCCGGAAAAAAATAAGCCACTGTGGATCTTTTCAACAAAAGGGACTTAATTTAGGAAAGTGATTGGACAGGGGACAGGAAAGGTGAGAAGTCAAACAGGAATAATGAGACAATCAAGATTAACAGCAGAAAATTGCAAACTACCCTAAGCTGACAGGAAAATGCAATAAAGTATATTTCAGTGCCCAATACCTGGACTGTGAAATTTGTGATCAGGCTACCTACAAAAGTGTGAAAATATCAGGCGAAGAATTATGGATAAGCCATGGCTGTCCTGAGGACAACCAAGAGAGGTGAGAAGATCCTGGATTCTCCTTTCCTTCCCTCCTTCCTCCTTTGAGTCTCCAAGTACCTCCTGACCCCACTTAACCTGGAGCAATTTATAAAGGAACCTGTGTAATCTGCTTTCCTGTGAAAACATATCAAAACAAGAAAAGTCAGAAAAAGGATCCGAGAGCAAAGAGAAAAATGACCCACAAAGCATCTGTGTATATATTTATCTTTCAACAAAGATTTAGTGAGTATCTATTTGATTCAAACTATTTGAATCAAAAGATTTAAACGTAAAAACTAATAAAATACTTCTCTCTAAAAACTGTTGAATTCATCATTTGTTTTTTCATGGTTGAGGTTATTTCAGCAGCCAAATCCTGTCATCAAATGAAATGTCACATGGGGAACCAATATAAAAAATATAAAAATGGAATGCAGCCCCACATTCGTCCTGGCCCTGTCAAGGTTTTGATACACATTTAAGGAATGCTTTGCTTAGATAACCTGGAAGATGGGAAATAACGCTGCTTTGGTCAAAGGATTTCCCTCACCTTCTTTGCCTGAAACTGTCTCTTTCCTCTCCCGAAACAGATCAGAAATCTTAGGTAACTCAGGTGATTATATTCCTCTCAGATAATAGTGTTACTCCTCTTAACCTTTAACAATGAGTGATTTAAAATCTCAGTATAATTCTGTCTGTGTAAGGGGTCTTTACATGTAGTTTTCTATGATTATTCTAAAGCTATTCTGATATATTAATATGCATTAAACCAAAACAACTCTAACCTTCAGAAGAACACTTGTTTAAAAGCACAAAGGCTTTGATGGAGTACCTATTATTAAAATAATCTTGTGTTTAAAAGTAGAACATTATCTTTGTATAAAAAAATGAATAGACTAGTGATGCATGTCTCCTAGGAGAATTAAATGAAAAAAAACATTAGATAAATGATACTTAATGGAAGGTGACTTTTTGTCTACACCTGGTAGAATTTACACAAATAATACAGAAAATAAAGTAGAAAGAGAATAATTCTCAGAAAGAGACATCTTGTTAAGATAATTTTCTTCCCAGCAAGAATCACTGTCCAGTGCAATATTCCCGAGTGAACGATAAAACACTAATCTTTAAAACTATTGCAGGGCCAAAGTGTGTGTTAGGAACCATTGTTAGGAAATGGAGACTAAACATTAATAGAATAGAGAATTCAAGAAGTGATCATTTTATACCCGAGCTTTATAAACACTGTGACAGTTAATATTGACAGTAGAGTTGGTGAAGAAAAGGTGATTCAATCTTTACAAAGACTTTATTCTCCTGCCATTTCCACGCAGACTGTATTTATCAGCTGAAGGGAAATAAAACACGTTCAATTCCCTTCGCTTCATTTGATACTTCCTGTGGTGGGAGGTAGTAAGGCATGGTCCACGCCCCAGCAGCTGCAGTCCGGGGACAGAGGACTGCCAGGTGACCGCAGGAAAGTGCGTGAATCCAGGCACTGAAACTTGGATGAGGACAGGACCCATGGTTGGAATAGAAGTCAGGAAAGGCTTCCTGGAAGAAGTGATAAAAAGTGACAGATAAATGTAAGCCAGACACAGGAAGAAAGTGAAATGTAATATTTCAAAGCATGAACCCAGCAAAAAATCACGTGTTCCGGGAACTGCAGGGTTGAACTTTGTTGAGGAAGATGTGACATGATTGTGCAGATTGTGTCCCGGGTACAAGTGTGTGGGCAGTCGTGCATATGGAGACTGAAATCAGATCTGCTCTCCCCACCCACCTAGAGAGCAGCCTTTTTTTTAAGTCATGCAAAAGCAATATGGGGTAGCACAGCTCCATGCGGAGAACAGAAAAGGGACCCTACCAGGAGGCTGGAGAGAAGCAAGAATTAATTGGTAAAAAGCTTTATGAGCAATATTAAGAAAGTTGACACAGAAATAAACACATTTTATAAAATTGTTCCTAAAAAACCAAGTTTAAAGACAATCAATGTCACCATTATTAGAATTATTAACAATTATTAATATAAACCAGATGGAGCCGCCAAGGGACTGAGCTGGTAGCCTTAAGTGACCGTCTAAAATTCGGACTAGGTGTGACATCAGCATTTGCAGTGTGATTTGTGTGGCCTTAAACTAACAGATTGCTTTCTCCTGCAGGCTGTATTTTGGTGAGAAGATTGGGCTGTACTTTGCTTGGCTGGGATGGTATACTGGAATGCTGATTCCGGCCGCACTGGTTGGTTTGTGTGTTTTCTTCTATGGAATACTTACGATGAATGCAAGTCAAGTAAGGTAAGCTACTAACAGACTTATTGAAAAGTGTTGGTCTTTCCTCTGGTTGGACAAAAACTTTATGACGATGCTGACTATAAAAAACAAGTAATAAGCTTCTTTTCAGCTCAAACTACCATCTTTCAGTAATTTTCCAAAATGACTAACACAGAGGGAAAAAGGAGAGGTACCCGTTACATGTTCTCTAGGCCTTTTAGAAAACATGGAGGTGTTCCTGTGGCTACATACTTGCAGATCTCCAAGAAAGGTAATATTGTAGATGTCAAGGGAATGGACACTGTTCAGAACAGAATGCCCCACGGATGTTCCCCTAGCAAAACTGGGAGAGTCTATAGTGTCACCCAGCTTGGGGTGGGCATTGTTATAAACAATCAAGTTAAGAGCAAGATTCTTGCCAAGAGTATTAATGTACAAATTTAGCATATTAAGTGCTCTAAGAGAGGAAATAGCTTCCTGAAATGTGTGAAGGAAAAAGATCAGAAAAAGAAGGAAGCCAAAGAGAAAGGTACCTGGGTTCAACTGAAGCATCAGCCTGCTCCACCCAGAGAAGCCCACTTTGTGAGAAGTAAGGTCCCAGTTCAGGTCCCCAGTTGGGGGCGTGTGAGATGCAACCAATCAGTGTATCTCTTGCACATCGATATTTCTTTCCCTCTTTCTCTCCCTTCCCCTCTCTCTCTAAAAATAAATAAATTTTAAAAAATAAAAGGAGTAAAACAAATTAACACAGGCAGAAAATAATTCTTAAGCAGTTAGCTACTGTTCATCTTGGTTCCACGGGTACATAGTCACAAGGTTTTACCATGTCATGTAGACTCCCCCTCCACCCCTGCAAAGCTGAAAATGAACAAAAGACAATGAAAGGAATCAATTTGCTGCTCCTATTGACGTATGTACCAGTGGGGCAAATTAGGCTCCTTTTGTATGAGATTGGTATTCTCTAGCCTTAATACAAGGAGCGTTTCCAAAGGCATCAGCAAACTCTTTGCTTCAGTGCTTTACAATATTATATTTCTGCTACTTCTGTCACACTATAATTAAGATCTTGTCAGACTTTCTATTCTAAATCAAGATAATCTTCATCGAATATCTTTCAAAATTTCGCGAGCTGAAATCTTTCATTCAAGGTGTCAGACGTAAAGTTGTAGGTGTTATCCTGGTGGGTTGGTGGAGAACACAGCTTTTCTTTTGTGTTGCTTTGTTTCAGCGTACCTTTAAGCTCTTTTTGCTTCTTTTAAAGAAACAAAATATTAAAAAGCTGAGGACTAGGTTGTATTTATTATGTTTCTACCAGCTTTGTTCAGGTGAGTTAAAGTCATATTTCTTAATTTTCCAGCAGTTAATTGTAGAATTATAAAACCATCACATTATAGATTATTTATTATATATGTACATGTATATATTTACATGTGTTCATTGGTAATCAAAAGTGGTCAGACTTATCATAGTAATATGAAAATGACCAAACAGGTAGCTATGGCTTGCTTCTCAGACCCTGAGTTTCAGGTTTAGAGCAAAGAACAGAAACCCCAACTTTCTAGTCCATCCTTTCTAGACCATCCTTTCTTTGGCATTAGAATTCACCACGAAATTGACTGTCTTCCAAAAGCAGTTGGGTCTTAAAGGATTTCTAGACCTTCTCCTCACAACATCCTTAGCAAGGAGGGTTATTAACTCTCTGTGGTGTGGCAGGTATGTTATCGATACCCCTTATGTAGTATCACAAATAGATAGCATCTCCAGATAGAGATAAAGAAACCAATCCTCAGAGAGGTAAGAGACTTGGTCAGGGTAATATATCTAGTAAATGCTCAGCTACGTGTCAAATCTCTATCTGATATATTTTTTAAATCGTGATAGGAACACTTAACATGAGATCTACCCTCTATACTTTAAAAATGTTTGCATGAACACTACAGTATTGTTAACTGTAGGCATACCATTGGAGAGCAGAGTTTTAGAACCTACTTATCTTGCATAACTGGAACTTTACACCCCTTGAACAGTAGCTCCCATTTCCCTCTCCCCTAACCCTGGCAAGCAATGTTCTGCTCTGTTCCCACGAGTTTGACTGTTTTAGATGCCAATGTAAGTGAAATCATGCACTATTTGTTCTGCTACTGGTTTATTTCACTGCATGTAATATCCTCCAGTTCATCTATGCTGTTGCATATGGCAGGACTTCCTCCTTTTTAAGGCTGAATAATAATATTTCACTGTATGTTTATAGAACATTTTTATCCATTTATCTATTGATGGATATTTGGGTTATTTCCATATTTTGGCTATTGTGAATAATGCTGCAATGAATATGGGAGTGTAGACATCTCTCCAAGATCCTGATTTCACTTCTAAGATAGATACCCAGAAATGGAATTATTGAATTATATGGTAGTTTTATTTTTTAATTGTTTGAGAAAAGTCCATATTATTATCCATAGTGGTTGTGCCATTTCACCAACAAGGTACAAGTGTTCCAAATTCTCTGCATTCTTGCCAACACTTGTCATCTTTTGTCTCTTTGTTTGCTTGATAATAGCAATCTCAACAGGTGTGAGTTAATATCTCATGATTTGATTTGCTCTTCCCTGGTGGTTATATCTGATTCTACAACCCATACTTCACTCATGCTTCTATACTGCCTTCTTTTAGATCTACTTAAACATTTTCACAATTCCCCCCAAATGGACATCACCAAGCATCTTAAACTGTGCTTTGTCACAGAAAGTCTCAAGACCCTGGAGTAGGTCCAGACATCCACCCCCAAATGGACAAATCGCTCTCTCCCCCATTATCTTAAGTGGTGGTGATTATTATTTCACTTGAGTCAGCCCTTACTGTGTATATCTGACATTAGAGGTAAAAGAAAAAAAAGCCACAGTTGAACTTGTGCTTTACATTATCTGCCTCAGCAAAAGAAATTAAGAAAACACTTGTGCTGGGTTCTCTTTCTCCCTCTAGTGGTGCAGTAAAAACAAGAAAGTTCTGATGGCCTCAAATCCCTTATTTCAGGCTAAAACATACATTATCAAAATTTGTTTAATATTTTATTACATATCAAGTTATACTTTGATAAAACTATAGAGAATGAGTTTAATGATTCTGGAATTAAAAATAGGATTCAGTCTGATAGCTGGGATTGTAGACTTCCTGTTTTGTTTGAACACTTGGCAAATGAGGAAGATGATATAATATAAAGCGATTTTATTATACTTTGTTAGTATGAGATTTCAATGCAGGATGCATTGTGTCATTCTCAAAACACAAGGAACTATGAGAGCGATACCACTTCAATCAAAATCTCCTTCAAGGAGTGTGTTATTTCTTCTTGTTTGAATAAATTAGTAGTATTACTAAGAGAAGATACAATTCTCTCTTTCTTTGGGGCTTTTAAATTGTGTATTTTGCCTGTTTCCTTCTACTTCACACGGACATCCTGTTTACTAGAAATATGGTGTGTGAAAGTGAGATGATGATAGTATGTGTGAGACCCATTGCATCATCATCACTAATAAGTTACTTTTTGTTAAAAACCTTTTTTAAAATATAAAACAAACATATCATTCTTTTAGATATATTATAGTTGATAGAGAACTGTACCCAGAATAAGAAAAAACTAGGTTCAGCCCCAAAAAGTGCCTACTGTTAGCTATGTGATCTCGAGCAACTCACTTAGATCATCAGCTTGCTCTCTCTTGTGGAGATAACTCCCATTGCAGGAGATGACAGTGAGGACCAAATTTCATGAGCATGAACTCATCGTTGTGTACTGTAAAGCACTGCGTGACTATATAGTATTCTTACTTACTATTCATTCCTACTATGGCTTGAGAATACATACATCCAGCATTTGAAATGCACATGAATTCTGTTTTTGCTTCATTTGAGTGCAGACATTTTGGAAAATTGCAATTCTTGCTACAAACACCACCAATTAAACTTTTACTTTGACGTATTTTCAAAAGCCTTGAAATTACTTTCAACATTTCTAGAGCAGATTTACTGAAAGACAAGTTACTCAGGTGCTACTCAGTGGAGAAGAATCATGTATGACAGATAAAACAGAAAACATCTTAAAACTAGGTTGCTGTAAACTCAGGCTGTGAGGCTTTTGAGAAGTTTCTATTGATGCCCTACTCTTTCACAAAGTCATCTATAATGTAAGCTGAGATGTTTTAAAAGGTAGTGGCATAAAACTGAAGAGAGATATTGTAAAGTTACGTTCTAATACAGAATACAGTATATTTCAGTAAATAAAGTCTGTCATGTCAACATGACACTGCATATCAAAGCACAATAAAAAATAAGGGAAGGGAAAAGAAAAGGAAGGAAACAAAAGGGAGGGGAAGGGAAGGGAAGGGAAGGGAAGGGAAGGGAAGGGAAGGGAAGGGAAGGGAAGGGAAGGGAAGGGAAGGGAAGGGAAGGGAAGGGAAGGGAAGGGAAGGGAAGGGAAGGGAAGGGAAGGGAAGGGAAGGGAAGGGAAGGGAAGGGAAGGGAAGGGAAGGGAAGGGAAGGGAAGGGAGAATCAATTCCCTCAAATTTCCAATGGACATGATCCTCAAATTCCCTACCATGTTGCAGCCAATCAAGCCCTGGCAGGTCCACTCTAGACTCAGGGAGATGGAATAAAATGCTTGGCATCTTGGGAATGCTTCATATGCCTTTATTTACCGGTGGTGGAGCCATGCATGCTGCAAGCTGCACATTTCTCTAGTGAGAAGCCCCTACTTGTTCAAGTACTAGAGACAGACAAAGCCGGCCTCAAGCCAAAAAATTATATAACATAGCATGATTCTGAGCATGTGAGCGAACTTCATGTTGTGGGGACCATTTATCAGACCTGACTCAAGGCTATGACAACACTGCTTATCAGGCCCATTCAAAGTTATAGGAAAATTGCTTCCCTTCGTTACCCAGACACCTGAGTGAGGAAGCTAGATTGTTTCCATTTACTCTATAGCAGTGGACATGATGCATTGATTTACTGCAGTGGGGATTATGAAGTTGTATGAATTAAGGATTCCGTTTATCTTGCTGATTCTAAGGCAGTGAGATTCAAAGGGAAAGGGTATTAAACTTGAGAAATCAGAATAGTAGGCTGTGATTTCAGTCAGCCACTGCCAAACCTGTGAGCTTAAAGTTCCCTTGGGTGTAAAAGTGTCTCCATAACAAAACCCTGCAAGTATCTCCCGAGTATAAAATATGGTATGTGGTCATTACATTGTCTAGACAGAGATTTCTTAAAACAAAGAAGCAAACAGGAAGCTCTGTATCACAAATACCCTAAAAATTCAAGTTGGAACCCTGGCCCACGTGGCTTGATTGGTTATCCTACACACCAAAAAGTTGCAGGTTCAGTTTCCAGTCAGGTCTCATACCTAAGTTGCATGTTTGGTCCCCTGTTGGGGCACATGCAGTAGGCAACTGATCAGTGTTTCTCTCTCACATCAGTGCTGCTTCTCTCTCTCTCTCTCTCTCTCTCTCTCTCTCTCTCTCAATAAATATATATAATTTTTTAATTAAAATTGGAGCCACAGTCTTAAATTATTCCTTACCTGGATATCATGCTCCATTATTTCCATTTCCTCTATTCTTCTCTGTCTTGCTGCTTCCCACAGGATTGATCATAGGAGCTATGCACCTCCCTAAACATGAAAGTTTATGCTTTCTTTTTTTCTTCTTTGATTTCTCAAGCCAAGAAATTTGCAAGGCTACTGAAGTCTTCATGTGCCCTCTCTGTGACAAGAACTGCTCACTACAGAGACTCAACGAAAGCTGTATCTATGCCAAGGTGAGTGTGGACCTTCACATTCTCCTTCCTGAGGTCCAGGTAGTAACAAGGGCTTCATTAAATTGCTTTTTACCAAAGCTAAATGTTCCCAAGGGTTTTCGCAATTCATATCATTGACAATGGGGTGAGATATCACTTCACAGCAATTACAAAACACATATTTTTATTTGAACACCTTTGTCTTCCTTTGTTTTTATACATTGATTATTGATATTATAGACTCAAAGTTTTTCTTGGAATGATGTCTAGATTCTTTTTAGGAAATGATGATTATTTTTCTCGGCAATGATTACATTTAAATCTTCCATGAAGACTCATGAAATTAAACTACTTCTAATTTTACAGAAAAAATAAAATGACATACCAAAAGTTCTCAGATTGCTGCTGATTAGAATCACCTGAAAGTTTTTTAAAACTCCTGAAACCCAAATAATCCCCAGAGCAATCAAATAGCAATCTTTGGATTTGAAACTTAGATATCAGTATATTTAAAACCTCCCAGGTGATTCTAACATGCATACGAGTTTGAGAAACTAAACTTCACAGTTATGATTGTTTATTTATAAAACAATGTTAATAAATTATAATTAACATACAGTAAAATGTATATATTTGTGCTGTATAAATCGGTGCATTTTGATTATATATATGCACCAGTGCAATCATTACGACAATCAAGATGATGAACATACCCCTAACTTCCAAGTTTCTTCACCTACTCTTATTTGCAATCCCTTCCTCTCACCCTCCCAACTCCACTACTGTACTCAGGCAACCAGCTGCTTTCTGTCATTATAGTTAAGTTTGTATTCTCTAGACTTTTATGTAGATAGAATCCTCCAGTGTGTGATTTTTTCCAACTTCTTTCACACAGCATAGTCATTTGGAGATTCATCCATGTTGTAACATTTATCAGCAGATTATTCCTCTTTAGTGCTGAGTAGTAGCATTGCATTATATGGCCATACCAGACTGGGTTTATCCATTCACCTATTAGTGGATTTGGGGATGGTTTCAAGTTATTACCATTGTAAATAAAGATTCTATGAACATTCATCTACAAATCTTCCTATAGATAAGTACTACTATTTCTCTTGGGTAAATACTTCGGAGTAAAGTAGCTGGATTATCTGATAGGTGGAGATTTAACTCTCTAAAAACTGCCAGACTATTTTCCAAAGTGCTTGTACCATTTTACAGTTTTGCCAACCGTGTATGAGAATTCCAGTTTTCTATCTAGTCACTACCCCTTGGGATGGTCAGTTTTTAATTTTAACTATTCTCATTGTACTTTAGTTACTTGAAAATAACTTCATCTTTGGGGGGTCATGATTGTAAGATCTGTGACATGGGCTCACAGCAGTGCTCTGTCTAACACCACGTCCCCAGTAAACACAAGATCTTTCTGTGTGCTCCACTCAATGCACTGTGAACAATGCAGGCTTCCAGTCTGGCAGTGGGGATAGGCATTGTTTCTGCCTCTGAGCTCCTGATACTGTTACCTCTGATTTTCTCAGATGTTTCTTTCCTCAGGTGGCTTCCTCACATACATGTTCACTGGGCACTGCCTGGATGGTCCCTCTCTGCACCCTACCAACTCTTTCAGTGTAGTGACCTGAGGCAGTCATAGTACTCACTCCCTCTGTTGTCCACCTCTCCAGGGACATCAGCACTCATTGCCTAACATTCACAGTCTTGAAATACGTTGCTTATATATTTTGTGCATTCTTTGGTTGTTTCCAGAATGGGGGGTAAAATTAGTCACTGCTATTCCATCTTGTTCAGAAGTAGAAGTCTCTATACATTTAATTTTGACAAGGCTAGGTATAAAATCAAGAGATACTTAATATTCTAGTGCAAGACCAAACTTGGTAAAATTAGCTTCTGAATTATATCTTGAATGCATGGCATAGGAAAAGTCTGTTTTGTTTACAGTTTCATTTCTAACATACACTTAGTTTTGAAAGATGTCCAATGTTCCACGCAGATGTCCCATCTTAGGAAGCATTTCCTCCACAGTTTTTATAAAAGTCAAGTGCATTCGAGCTTTTAGATGTATTTACACACATCCCTCTCCCAGCCTATGCATTTCAAAGACATGACTATCTTAGAGACAACAATAAATTTATACATACATTGCTTCTGCTTACCGCTGAACACATCTAATGAATCACACAAGCATTATCTGGATACTAAGTATTTTTTAAGAAACACCCACATATGGCAGTGATAAAGTGAAGAAACTGTCCAAAACCAGGGACTTCTGTCATTGTGCAGAATCCTTATTCCTCCTTTTCTTGGTATAAAAAAATATGTTTAAGGACAGTTATGACTCACATTATGTGAATATTTCATATATACCATGCTGTGTCTCATGGATGTATTTCTAAAAAGTTAATATTTTAATTTATTGAGTTAAAAAATAACTGAGATGTGTGAACAGACTTATCAAGAAAACAATCAAAAGCCTTTTCAAGGAAAATCTTATATAAACTATGACCAGTCATGTCCTTGCAACCCAAGTGTTGTGAAATGTGGCTATTTACGTACCACTTCTTCAAAAGCACAGCTGCTTCTGGAGCAGGCAAACGCCACTATTTCTTAGTCTCCGTTGTAAAGTCTCTGTTGGAACACTCTAAGAGACCATTCCCTGCAGAAGGTCATTTCTAAAGGAAAGCAGGCAGCTGTTGAGTGGGTGGTAGGTAGCAGCAGGCGTCCCTATGCGATGCCTCTGCAAACAAAAAAGCTAGATCCCCCGCTGGGTATAATTCATAAGCTCTGTGGGAACATTTCTTTATGATCTTTTTCTCTCCTATACATAACAACTACTGATGATCTACTTATGATTGTTATGAAAACCAATTTTTATAACATTTTGGGAAATACCGAGCCTTAACAATCATAGAAGTTTAGAGCCACATAGGACATCTTGCACCCATCCACAAACCACCAAAAAGAGCACAGCTTTTGTGTAATGATACTTTAAGTGCTGCTACAATACAGGAAAATACATCCTACCATTATCTGTTTCACATATTGTGTGCAGCGTGATTCAGGGGGTATAGTTAAAACACCCATTTACTGCCCCCATTGAGCAGCCTCTGAATTGTAGACTGAGCAAAAAAGAAATCATTTTACTCCCACTTCCCTTGTAGTGATGCTTTTTTTGTTGTTTTGTCCCTAACTGACTTCTCTCTCTGGTGAGGTTAGTGCCCCTATTTTCTCTACAGTATTTATGGTGTGGATTTGACCACCAGACATATATTGTTTTGACTGTATCCACTTAATCTCTCTCCATAACATAAATATAGTGAAGGCATTATGCAAATGAAAAGAAGCAAAAGTAAATTGAATTTTTATACTTTATTAAAATCAAACAATTCTTGCAACCCTGAAAAATGTATTCAGTAACATCATGTAACTGGACATTGTTCTTTATAAAACTTCAGGTAATGTCTGATTCAAAAACACTTGCACTATATCCTACATATTGGTGATTTAGGAAACTTCTGAAAAACAACTTAAGATGAAATTCATTGCTTCTTATAGCCTCTCTGGGGTCATGGTCAATACTGAGACATCAGATAGTAGGGACGGCACTGTGATATCGTGGCATTGGAAGTCTGCCTCACTAGCGGAATTCTGCATTTTGCAACCCCCCCCCCCCCAGTCCTGGATGCTTTGCTAACAAGAAGTACAACTGGGTATGCTTCAACTGAGAAGCTGACTTCTTACAGTTCACTCAGTAGCTTGACTTCGCGTGTCCCACAACTACGTCCTTGAGGTGCTTAGAAACCGTTTCCAAGCAGAAATGAAGATGGAGTTCAAAGGGAATAAAAAGGAAGAGAGAAGAAAAGGGAAATGCTGATCCTTTATCTCTCCCCATGAAACAATCACATGAAACAGTTGCAGGATCCCTGAAATGATCTCATACCTTGTATTTACAGACTATAAAATAATGTGATTCCATTGGAAAAAAAATTACAGGACCAAAATGCAAACCATAGTCACTGGATTATTTTAACCAACACTATGACTCACAGTTTTGTTTGTTTTCCATTAAGGTGACATACTTGTTCGATAATGGAGGAACAGTCTTCTTTGCTATTTTTATGGCAATATGGGGTAAGTATGTTCTTCCATTACTTGCTTCCTATTCCTTATTCTCTGAGGCTGTTGCTGTGTTTCTTCATACACACACTTGTGTGGACACACACACACACACACACACACACACACACACACACCATGAATCAATTCAACAGAGTCTCTTGCTTTGATTGCCCTCGTCACACATTCGCTGCTTCTCTGGGAATTTGTCTCCTGATCTAATCCTCTAATTCCTAAAGCCTGGGACCTTCCTGTACTAATGTTTTTTTTTTTTCCTGCTGGAAGCAGATGGTAATTAAAAACAAACTGAAATATATTAAAATCCAAGCTGAGCTTCTTGAATATTCTCTTGAAACTGATGGTCAGAAAAATTTTTGTTTTCTTAACATCTCCATTTATCTATTTTTTACCTTATTCTTCATATATTTACAGATGCAGAATCTATTCCACATATGATTGATTGGTAATATCTAATACATATTAAATTCTGTCCCTAAGTAATATCCTAAAACTGTAAAAATTAGGTACAGGTACATGATTTGGCTAACTTTTGTTACCATGTTCCTCACTGAATTTTTAAAGTACCCAGTTAATTGAGGCCTAAAGTGAGTCAGACAGCTTTGAATTCCCCCTCCTTTGAAGAAAAGCAGTCACTTTCATGGTTAGGGTCCCCTTTTCTAACATAGCCCTGTTGAATGCAAAGTCATTGTCAACTTGGCAGCTCAAGGGACTGACCACATACGTGCTGATGCAGAAAAGTAAACTGTACCAAAAGGTAGGCCTCTCACCCCTTTTACCTAAATTTCCCAGAAAGAGAAATTCTGTGCCATACTGTCTTTCTAGCTTTAAGTAATTTTTTTAAAAAAATTAACTTCCAATATTCCTCTAACAAAATGTTAATGGTGATGTATGACCTTAGAATTACAGGGGAAGCAGTCAAGAGTCCATCCATTGATTTTTGTCCAAAAAGAAAAACATAGTAAAAATGTACTTTTCGGTTCTTCATTTTCATTGAAAGATTTTTTAAATTAAATTACCAAGCAGGGTAATTGAGGTGAAATCTTTTAGTCTTACCTGAATCCATGAACATTTTTGGTCTATTTTTTTCTCTCTAAGAAAAAAACAGACCAACAGAAAGAAAAAAACAGACCAAAATACAAATTAAGGTTACTCGATAGACACTTCTGTACAAGCAAAAAACGAAACCTTTTGGATGATTTCTCTTCTCTTTCTTTTTCTGCTACTAGCTAGTCTCAGGCTTTTATAGTTCTTCTTGGCACAAGCCACATGACAGTGATCTCACTGCAGCTTTGGAAAGACGGGTTGGTGCAAAGTCCAGGATGTAGGTAAACACTTGCCATCCGAAGCCTTTTCCCCTTAGTTTTACATTGAGGTACGGAGTGGAGGTATGTCATCCATAGGAATACCATCACGTGCATTTTCTCGACCTGCTGGCATGGATGATGAGTCATTGACACTTTGGTTGTAATAACTAGCATTCCCAAAACTCACATCATAAGGTTCCGGTGCATTGTCTAATCGCAGAACTAAAAAAGTAACCAAAGGAAAGTGTTTTATGGTGACAGTATGAAAGATGCATACACACGCAGGTATCTGCCACACCTTAGGAATCATTCTAGGTCAGTAAGTACGTCTACCCTTTACATGGGCTTTGTAGATACTAGTTTTGAATTTTTAAATAAATAGATGTTTTTAAACCATTTCTTTCTAATACTAAAAGAACAGTTTAACTTCCAAAATTTCCCCACTACTGCACCAAATCTAAAGGAACTAAGGGAGAAATCACAACAAAAGTGTTCACAGCAATATTTTGTATAAAGAAGTGTAAACAAATGTCTTACTACTTGAATCTTGTGAGTTCAGGCCTTGTCAATTGATATTGAAAATGTTTACTTCTGGTGTAAAAATAATTTTTAAAAAATCTAGAGAATTAATTTTAAAACCAGTGTCATTATTCTACCAAGGGACTTCATGTGGTTGAGCCATTAAATGTGGAGATGGGAGAAAACTCTCTGTAAAAGCTTGTATGTCCTGCCGGCAGATCCACCCTACCCTGTACTCAAGGTTTCATGACAAATGATAAAGAATTTCTTTTCTTTTTCAAGAAACAGCCAATCATTATTTCCTTAATGAGCTTGAACTTGTATTCAAAAAAAACTTGGTGTGTAGGAGGTACTTTTAAATACTAAATCTATGACTAATTACGAAGTAGATTATTAATCTAATTGCTCATTGAGTGTTGTTCTTTGTTCATATCCTATCATTTTCTTGAACCATCTCTTTACAAACTGGTCTCCCAGGAACTGTAGGGATCCCTGATCTGTCTTGAAGGAGTAAAGGAGATGGTGTAAATGAGTTGTTTTCTTTTGCCTCAGTCACATCTTAAATTATATTAATTTAATACACTGAGCTTTTCGTATGTGGTTATAGATAAAGAAAAATATTCCAAAAGTCAAAAAAAACCCTGAAACACCTTGTTAGAAATTCTATTGTTTAATTTTGAAAACTTCCATTTTTTACCTTATATGGATTGCTAGAAACTCAGACGAAATTCAGTTAAAAGTACAAAGTGGATTTGGTTCCGAAAAAGAGTGTATTTCAGTCATGGTCTCAAGTTATCAAAGATCAACAGAACTCGCCAGTTGACCCCACTAGGGTCATGTAACTTTTTTTAATGATAGCAAGAGTCCCTTGTGAAAACCAGTGAACCAAAGGGATGAGTCAAACATTCGAAGTGATTTCATTTGTGTTCTAAACATTGAATTGTTGAGAGCAAACTCAGTGCTTAATTCTTAGCAGTTACATTATTTTATTCATACACATTATGGTTCTTTTTTATCATGTGAATGGGAAAATCTTGAACTAAAGTAAACCGTGCTTGTGACTTTACATAGCCAAATAGGCAACTCTTTCGAAATCATATTTAAGAGACTCAATAAAATAATTAGTATAGGTGTACTGTATCTGTAAAACTTGTGAAGAGCTTCTAATTAGAATATATCTTTGCTCCAATTGCTGCTAATAAAAAAACCCAGCAATGCTAACAAAACTGGCCACATTTTTCTCAAGACCATAACATTATCTTCCAATTTTACACATGTATTTTAGGTTCAGGGATTATTATTTAAAACCAACTGTGATGCAATGAGCAACAGTGTCAAATATTTGAACATTTTTTTCTCGCAGGTTCATAATTATTTGGTTTATGTTATTTGAGAACCAGAGAGTAGATCAGAATAAATCTTTGGTCTGTTCCTGTCATGTGACCTTGAACCCTTCTAGATAATGCAGTGACCATTAGCAATTGACACTTAAAACCACTGTGGGAGGATGAAGTCCTGAAAGTTGTTCTTACCTGGTTCGTTTCTATCGTCGTAAAGTCGCCGATGGGAAAATGAACTTGTCTTCCTTTTTCCACACAATAAGTAGCCAACCAGAGTAAGCAACGAAGCGCCCAAAATAGCACCTAAAATGGCCCCAAATACTATTCCTGTATTTCTATTCTCTAAAGAAAAAAAGGAAAAAATAGTTTACAAACAAGAAATTAAAATAATTGTTTGAAGAACAGATATGTGTGTATACATACACACATCCGTACATACCCGTGGACTTCCTATGTACCACAAAGAATGTTTAAAAATATTTATATATGTATTTATTTATTAGATAAGAGTGATATTGTATGAGTTTTACCCAGTACTGAGTACTAGGGATATATTGGCAAAATATGTTTCCCGATACAACCAAGTCCTAGTTTTGTAACAGTGTCTCGTTACTTCTCAACCCTGATACTACTGACATGTCATGTGTGCATTCCACCGGGACATAACTTCTGTGTTGAAAGCTGTACTGTTTTTAATCAACTCTGAATCTCTGATGAACTTTACTGGTGAAATGAACTTTGAGCTTGTTTCTATGATAATTTGGAAGTAAAAAGCTAACGGGAGTAAGCGCACAATAGGAAATGAACCCACAAAGCTCCACGTAAAAAGGCACAATCAGAAAAAAACAATTTGTTCTGATAAGGATACTTTGCAGGAGAACAAAGGACCAGAGCAAGGTGTTGTCCATGCCTTGCACGCAGGGAACAAAATGTGTAGGTCTGAGCCTAAGAGAACCCACGATTTCACTCTGCCATCCCCTTTACCAAGTCTGCATTTGAAGGCCATCATCATTAAACTACTTACTACTCCCTGAATTCATATTTAGTGTATTTTACTTGTAATGAGTTTCTTTAGTTTATTGAGAAGCTGACTAATTACGTAGGTATGAGCTCTTATATAGTCTCTGATTCTATATGAAACCCTATTTTTTTTAAATCACTAATCTTCACACAAGAAAGTTAACAGCAAAGTTACTACTAAAATAAAAGTGAAGCAAAGTTAGCATTTTTTGAAATTAAAGAGAAATGGCAGGAGTAGGTGCTCAGTGTTTTCAATATGTATTTTGAGTTTAGAGAGACAAAAGACAGTATTTTTTAAAAATACTTTTGGCAGAATATTAGAGCATGTCTAAACAGAGTAGATGTGTTAAAATTAGAGCTAAAGTGAAAAATGAGCGAGCAAGCAAGCAAAATACAACCAGAGACACTGAAATTGAGAACAAGCTGACAGTGACCAGAGTGGAGGTGGGAGGGGGTAGTGGGGGAAAAGGGTGGAGGGTTTGCAGGAACAATTATGAAGGACCCATGGACAATAACAGGTGGGGCTGGAAACAGGGGAGGGGGTGGGGAGGGCTGGAGTGGTGGGGAGGGGCGAAAAGAAAAGGCAGAAAACTGTACTTAAACAACAAAAATATTTAAATATATATATTTATGTACATTATATGTATTGTTTATATATAATGTACATACAATATATGGGTTGCAGAGCTATTGGAAAGCCTAGATTTCAGAATCTAAAACCTTTCCTGTACACTTGTAACAATTTTCAGATAGTAGCTTATATATATATATGTTTTGGTGTTTACATCATTAATATAATCTGTAAATAAGTTGTATTGGAAATTGGTGAGTTTGTAGTCAAAAAGAGTATTTTTTTAGGTTTCAAGAAAATAGAAACATGGTTAGACCTGAAAAAATATAAAGCAATGAATTTTCATTAAATATTAGAGATCTGTCTCAGTTTAGGTTCTAACGCTTGATGTAATCCCTAAAAATGAAAGATAAAAATGTCCCCATATACATTTTTTTTGTGATAGAGGTAAACTTTATCTTATGGTGTTCATTGAGTACTAAACCAAAAATTAGGCATGATTTCCTTTCATTGAGTTTATTTACTTAAAAAAAAATCAGTGTTTTATTTTCCTGTGATTGCAATGAGGTATCAGATAACTTATATGTTTACTTACATCAAGTTTCAAAACCAACAGACATATATTTTTACAGTTCATTTGTACAGTATTCCTAAAAGCATATGAAATTTCAAGTAGTCTTTCTAGAATTCAGTGGAAATTGTTAGACAGTATCTCAAAACTGTATCACTGCCTCAGTCTCCATTTCTTTTCAACCTGACCTACTTCTCATTCATCCCACTGTTTCCTCGTGTTTCCCTACAGGAATGACCAGCATATGCTGACTTAAGTTCTAATATTCCTTCCCTTTATCATGGTTACCCCTAAAAGTGAGAGCGACCTAGGCTATTGTAGTCTCCTTCATTTTCCTAGGATGACGCATTCCCCAGTTGTAATCCATGTGATTCATTCGGAGATTATTTCATACCAAAGGAAAGTTAAATATGTTTATATTTACCTTCTTGGGGGTCTGATGTATTTGGGAAGATTTTTGAATCATTGGTGAATTTTAAGGTGGGCTGTAGAGTCATTTCCTGGTAGGGGGTGAACGCTGCTATGTTGTCGCTGGTGGTGCTGAGCCAGGCGTCTGGCTCTGTGGTCATGGGACTCACCGACGTGGTGGCTGGGGCCGAAGGGAGGATGCTAACTGTAATGGAACCGTTGTCAGTTTTCACGGTGTCATTGGCCAAAGACCAAGGAACCTTTTCTGAAGGCACGGCAGACGTAGTAGTATTGGGAGTCTCTGAGAGGGCCAGAGAATTTTCATCTGTTACTGATGAGTTCTGAAGCAATTTAGGAACGTCGCTGTGGCTGGAGGGAGCGCTTTCAGAAAAGACGGGCGTGGTTCTTGGACTCCAGGAAAAGTCTGTGCTCAAATTACCGCCGGAATCTGGTGTTTCAGGACTTCCATCTGACGGATCCATCCGAGAGGAATTACTTGCTTTGTGATTGGAGGTTTCTCTGTCTTTAGCTAAGTTGGAATGTGCTTCACCTGTGAAAGGATCAAATTCTTTTGCCTTATTTTTTAAGCCTTCTGCAGCGTTTTCTGTAGTATTTACTTCCAGAATTTCTTTCCCATGGCTTACAAATAGGAGAACACTAAATAAGGTTGAAATCCACAGAAGTTGCGTTGAGGTCAACATTATAGCTTTCTTTGGTATTGGAGTTGTTCAGGGGAATCTGGAGGAAAATAACAACCATTTGAATCATTAAACAAAGATCTACACTTTTAAAGTGATAAAATCTAAAGACATAATACTGAGATAATAATACCATACTCTTAATTCCAAAAATTTGTTTTCTTTGAATTATGTACTAATATTAGAATAATTGAGTTCTGTATTCCACATAATATTTTTTCTTCCTTTAAGAAAATTCCATGCAAAAACTTTGTCAGGCAAGACACCACTATTCCACTATTTCAAATATTGTTGATATGTGTGTGTATAACCAAGTAAACCAAGTAATTTTAAAAAATATTGTAAATATAGTGCATGTAGATTTACAGCTGGCTGATTCCTTCAACTTATTTAAGGAAAACATGTTATTTATAAAGATGTACTTTTGAATATTATGAAAATTGAGTTACTGAATATACACTAAATGTACTACTTTAAAGTGAATCAATGAACCAACTTGAAAAGATTTTATACCTAATTTGAATTATTTGAATTTGAAAGTAACATTCATTTTTCAAAATACTTCTCATGATACCCTTCATTCAGAAAGACTTTTAGATTTGAGGATACTCTTTAATTTCCTTATTGCATTAATGAAGCATCCGGTTGAGAGTGGTATAAATTACCTAGCTAGATAGTAGCAGAGTTGGGATTTGAACCATGGTCCTGACCTCCAATCCAGGCACATCATTTTTCATGTTAACTGTCTTCTACACTACTGTGAAGTGCTACTAATTCAGTAGCTAGCAGTATATGGGGAAAATGGTTTTGAAAGTACATTTATATTAAAATCCTGGCTTCTGTCACAAATAACCTATGAAAATCAATGATCATAACCAGCCATGGTTTTATCATCATCATAATAACTATGTTGACTTCACAGTGTTGTTCTGAAGACTGAATGAAATGATTTAAGTAGAAGTATTCTGAACAATATCTCGCTTAAAGTAAGCACTTCATAAACGTTAACCTCCATTCCTTATTATTGAAATGTAATATTTCTGTGAGTGTCTTACACTTGACAAAGTTTACAGTATCATCTCACATGACCATGACAGTGATCCCTTAAGACAAAAAGAATAGCTTGTATCACCCCCATTTTGCAGATGAAGAAACCAAGGTTCAGATGTACGAGAACATTCATAGGAGCATTATTTATGAGTGTCTCCAATCTAAGCACCCATCAGTAACAGACTGGTTAATAAATTGTGTAAGATTAATATGTGGACATTAACAAACTAGAACTACATACAGAAATATAGGTGATCATCACAATTATAATGCCAGCCTTAAAATGCCAGTTGTCCTGGTGATTACATATAAATAAAGTTCAAAAGTTGGCAAAAACAAACCTCGAATGTTAGATGTCAGGAAAGTGGTCTCTTGTGGGGAGGCAGGGACAGTATTGGTTGGGTCACCATGGGAAGGGCTTCTCTGTGCCCACCTACTCTGATTCATGACCTGGTATGGGTTACATAAGTGTTTGAATATTTGATAAGGCTATTTATTTATATTTAATGAGCATTTTTAGTATAACCAAGAAAATTAATTTAGGCTTTAAAAATTGTTAACATAACTAGAAAACATTACTACTATTAAGCATTTATTATATCAGATGCTCTGCAGGTTTTCTCATTCAATTCTTACTAAAAACAATCAAATACTGAGAAAGGAATTATTAATTCTATTTTACAGATGATGAAATGAGGCATAAAAAATGAACATAATGTGTCTAAGGACACATTATCTAAAAACATACAACTAAAGAAACAGAGTTAGTTTCAAACCTATGCATAAAGCCAGCAATTACTTACCTATGTAACAAAAGTTACAAAAGAATATGGAACTTAGTGATTGGCTACTGTTTAGAACTTCTCCCGTCAACCTTGTCTTAGCACAACTACAAATTTTATTATTTTTCTATTTTAATTATAGCAATTTATAATCTCATTTTTTAAACACTGGAAAAAATGGGCATTTTACTTTAAGTAACTCCCAAACACACTAAACACAATTTTATCCTAATTGAATACATTTTAACAATTGTCTCTATGGATTCTATATAGACTTTTACCGCGTGGTTTATGGATTAACATGAACAAAACAAATGATTTCCCCAGGACTTATATTAGTTCACTCACATTTCATTAAATGAATGCCTCACCTAGCACATCAAAAGTGCAATTCCATTTCATTTAAAAATATTCACATGGACCTTTCCAGAAGCACCCTTCTCCTGTGAACTCCACTGGGTTTGTGGCAAATATTATAGCCTTTGTCATTATCTGCTGCTAGTGATCTGATTAGTTTATGAATTGTACGTGGTCACCCGTCTTATCATTATTATGCTGCTTGATCTGGTTTCCTCCACCTAAGCTTTCTGGTTTTTTACTCTTTCTAATGAAGTGGTCACCAGAGGGTAAGAAAACGCCCCTTGACTGTTCTTCTACCTTTCTTGTAATGTTACAGCAAAAACGTGGCATTGAGCTTCCATTCCCTTCCCATAATGAGAGTCCACTTAACAAGAGTCAACAAAGTGAGTTTTGTTGTCCCTGTCTCCCTTTGCCTGTAACATGGAACCACCAAAGGGATCTCTCTACCCTTCACCTAGTTTTTTTATTGTAACATGAAAACTTAAGGTATCGATACCCCAAATGAGCCAAACATCCTGTTACAGCCTATAAAGAAGGGGCAGAGAGGGATGAGACAGAATGCTATGAATACTATTTGCATTTTATTCCTAAATGAATACAGCTGTGAACATAGACTTATTCCTGCTGTCCGGGTGTGGCAGCAAGGACAACTTTGCGTCTGTTCGCAGGCCTATAAGAGAACCAAGTAACACCTTTTCCTTAGGTCCCTGCATCTTAAAGGGATAGAAGTAGCCAAGACTCAAAACCACATTTTTGTTCTGTAGTTTTGCTGGAGCAAAGAGTAAGCAATTTTGGTGAAGTCTAATCCCATTCTGAATTGAAGGAAGCACATTATAAGCAGCAAAGGCTAATGGAGGAGGTAGAGAAGCTCTGGAGGGCAATGCAATAACAATATATCCTTTCTCTTTGCACTTTCCTCTCAGCTCGTCTCTATCTCCAGAGATCAGATTCTTAAACTACATTGTGAACTGTTATGTAAACTAAGTTAGGCTGGATGATGGATGGCATGTTTGTGTGTGCCCAAGTTCATCTGTCAACCAGATGCAGTATAGAGGGAGACAGGCAAAAAAAAGAGAGAAAAGTGAAGTTGTCCTGGGAGAGAAAATTGGGACGACAAACCAGGTAGTATCATTTCCCCATACCCCGTTCTCTGCCACTTCTTGCCCATCAATGGAAACTCACAACAGAAACTTTGAGGGTGTAACATAGGAGCAAATCTGAGATCATTACAAACTTCAAAAACAACCTAGATTAGAATTATTATAAAGGGAACAGAAAAAAGAATGTCCATCCACGTTGTGATCGCTTAAACACAGATTCTAAATATTTCTGTATATATTGAAATGTTTGTATTATTTCTAGTACTTTATAACTTGCAAAATATACTTTCAGGGAGTGTGAGTTTCACTGTTTTTAAAATAATTCCTTTACACAGAGGAAAATAAACACTATTTTCTCCCTTTCTCTGGTGTTGGTACTAAAAAGAGGTTTCACATTACTACCTTTGTGTGGAGGGCTACAGAAGGTGGTGAGAGAGAGGGAAAAAACTGGCCCTTATGGGAGGCAAACCCGCAGTCTCTGTACAGAATTTCACTCCTCCTTAAATGCATGAAGACATTATTCTGCCCAGCTTCCATGTTCTATGTCACACTTGTTTTATACCAAGATTTAAAAATAAGAAAATATCTTTCTTTGTGTCAGGTAAATCAACCCATGCAAGGGAAGGGAAATGCTAGTCATTCTGAACTCCATCAAAACCAGGTTTAAATAAAAACATGAGTTCAGGTAGGTACAATGAGGGAATAACATAAAAACACGTTTCTGTAGTGAAACAACTAAAGAGTATACTGGGCTACTTCTCTCTTAGTTGCTTTTGATCACTCCTTGTTATAGATTTCAGACCATGAAGAAAGACAGATAGGTTTTGTTTGTCTTTGTCATAGGAAACTCAGTCTGACGCGTAGCCCATGTCTGAGACAGACCTTGAGCGTTACTGTGAGTGGCTTTTCCAATCTCGGGCAGTGTTTTCCTTTCCTTAAATGAAAGAGCCACAAGAAATGAGAACGTAGCAAATCGTGACTCCATAAATGCTTCTTTTATGAGGATTTTGAAGGGATGCAGAGACCACTAACCGTAAAGTCAGACTATACCTGAGAATCATAGGCATACCATTTTACTTTTATTTGCTTCAAACAAACAAAATAAAACAAAATAAAAACAAACTAAGCAAGCAACTAGAACAAGAACAGAACCACAGAAATGGAGATCACATGGAGGGTTAACAGTAGGGGAGGAAGAGGGGAGAGAGGGGGAAAAGCTACAGAGAATAAGTAGCATAGATGGTAGGTAGAAAATAGACAGGAGGAGGTTAAGAATAGTATAGGAAATGGAGAAGCCAAAGAACTTATATGTACAACCCATGGACATGAAGTAAAGGGGGGGAAGCGGGTGGGAGGCAGTGTGCAGGGCAGAGTGGAATGGTGTGGGAATGAGGCAACCATAATAGCATAATCAATAAAATATATTTTAAAAAAAGAAAGAAAACTGTGACTTTCCTCCCAGTTCCTACAGAAAATTTTTGTCAAAAGTTTGTAAACATCATTCTAACTAAAAGTCTGAGAGGTATGCACACATCCAGTAAAAATACAGAGAATGTCTTACTCCCAGGTATCTTGGGCGTCGTTAGTCGTAAACTTCAGTACTGAAATAATTAGGTGAAAGAATGTCATGCTTAGAAGGAAAGACTCGTCTCTGAAAGAAATATTCTGGACCCCGATTCCCAAACACATGCCTTCTGTCCAGTTTCACTATCTGCAGAAACAGCCTCTAGGGATCAACTAGAAAGTGGGCGAACAGTAAAGCAAGGTTAATTTTGAGAAACTGTATTTGTCCCATGGGGTGTCTTCTGCAAAACTGACTTAGCCTTTAGATTTCCAGCGAGTGGTGGACACGTGTGCTTGTCATGCTAAGTATTATAAACACACATTTTGCCAAAGTTCCTAAAGAAAGTCTTTGGGAATGTAATTCATTGTACTAGGAGATTGCTTTTTAAAACTATCATATTCTAATACTTTCACAACAACCTTGAAACCTAAATGCATGACTGAAATCTAAATATTCAATTTACACTCATGCTGGCATCTGCACTTAAAATGTTTTTACTAAGAAGTAATCTGAGGAAACTCTTACTTGGAATCACTAATGTTGAAGGAAGGTTTTTATTTTAGCTCTTCAGTTGGTTTCATTATCTAGTAAACTCACTTAACAGTGCACATACTCATCTGGAAGGTAGTTATTTAATGAAATAACTACCTGTCTTTACAATGGTCTAGCTACCTCCCAGACTGTTTGCCAAAAGTTGAACCCACTTTCATTCTCTTTAGGAAATCAATGAAAGAGAGAGAGGGTCGGACAGACAGACAGACAACAGGGTCGGGAGAGGAGGAATCCTAGGTAACGCAGCACCCAGCACACACTTACCTTTAAGTCTAGGAGGTGTTTACAAACAGGAACTGAAATTCCACAGCTCTCCCGGCTAAAATGAGTCTGCCGTGCATTAGAGAAAGCGATAGGTTAAGTATGACGATGTCCCACTAAGCAGGAGGGTGGCAGAGAAAATTAGGTGGAGCTGGCTGTATCTTGCTTGTGTAATAGAAGAACCCAAGAACCTGACTGACCTGCTTCTCAGCTGTCAGCACGAAGATACAACCTCATTCAGGCCTTTAAAAAAATAAGTCCAACCCTCCAGCTTTCATAGGTTGGTTGTTTTGACTTTGGGGCCAGCTAGTTGTCTTAAGCGGTGCAAAACAAAGGGCATTTATTTCTTGTCCTAAGTGAAAAAAGGACAAAGACTTTGGTAATAATCCTGGTGCATCAGGAATGTCTGACACATGCTGGGTTCCCACTTTGCAGGTGAGGAAACCAAAGTGAGTCACACCCTGCACCTGCTGCTGTCTTCTGGCCGCGCGTGTTCTCTTGACTCAGAAACAAGTCTCTTTCCCACCGTGGAATGTTCTCTTTGTGTACTTAAAACCTGAATGGAGAAAATATGGTGGGGTCACCAGTGGGGAGCCTTCTCTGCCATGCACTGAAATCCATTTTAGAGAAAGTGACAGTTAATACAAGGTGAATTGATGTGTATTGGGATCCTTGAGAAAGCTGTAAGCTTTACGTTCCAAGTAATCACTGGGACTGAGATGGGATTGCTTGCTGACTTGCAGAAGTTTGAGGGGTAACTGGGGCCTGTCTCCGAGTAGCCACACGATCCTGAGAAATCCTGGGAGCTTTCTCAGTTAAGTAGTTTCCATCCTGTGTTCTCTTTGCTTTTACTCTCAATTTCGAAGCTGGAGAGTTTCAGAAGTGCCCAGGTAGTGCTTAATTAAATGCTAGAGTTGAATAACGACCTGGCATACTTCCTTCACTTCCTTTCACGGCTTATGAAAAGGAGAAGAGTGAAACTGCACTTTCTGGGATATTCAGAACATCAATATTTGGGGCCTGGCGCCAAAGTCTGTTCAGCTAAGTATGCCTGAGGTTCGTGCTTAGTTTCTGTTGTGCAAGGAGATAGGTTTCCAATTGCTGAGAGAGAAAGCGAAACTTTAGCTAAGGTTCAGGAGCTTCAAGTTGAATGCAAAGAATCTGCCCAGTTAATTGGCCCCAGGAAAGAACAAGGTAATTCTATAGTTTTTAATTTTAAGAAGCCTAAAGGACCTTTCAGAGTTTGATTATAAATTAAGCCAACCCCTAGAAAAATGTTCACTCAAAGAATATTTAAGCTGTATCTGCATTGGTATGAAGAAAAACAAGTTAAATTTAGTAAAATGACTGGTTACTAAGCAATGGCTTAGTAGAATTCAATTGGTTATTTTCAGATTAGTCAGTTACTGGGGGAAAAAATTCAACTGAAATAAATATTTTATGTCTGCACTTAGGAAACTGAACATGACTGGGCCGGATTGATGTCCCTGAGAAATTTTTCCAGATACATGTATGAATCTATTACCATTTTCTGACTTGACCCTCAATTATGACCTATTCTAAGCATAGAAATTACAAGGCACTTTTGCTACCCTGCTCTGCTTTCACTGCCATAAAAGTCAAAGCTCACCCGCCATGACCTTCTTTTCTGAAGACCCTAACTGTGGTGGCCTCAGAACCCGTTTCACCATCACCCTGCTGACATTCATAACCACTTGATGAGAACTGACCCTGGAGATAGACCCTGCCTACCCTCCCTCAGGTACACACTGGAAATGCAGATAAGCTGTCAATAAAAACTATGCATAAATGTAATGCCTTAGTTATTGCTTTGCTCACTTAGTTGTGGCCACCTGTGAAATCACCTGTGTTGAAGTTAAAAAGTAGTTTTTTACAAAACAAATCTCATGGAAGGTCCATTTCCAGGTACATGCGGTATTTTGGAAAAACAATCCCATGGCAGACCTTGTTTCACTAGAGTCAGCCCAACAGTAAGAGACAATGACCCGACAAGTTCGTCAGCCAGACCAGCTGAGATGACACAATAGTGCAATGCTTATGTGAGTTTTTCTTGCTTACCTACTATGGTGCTTTTCATCTGGCACTCACTGATTGCGTCACAGCCATTAATTAAGTCTCCCAATGTGTATTGGAAGAAGAAACACCTCTTTGTAATGGTGGAAACACTCACAAGTGAAGTTTCTAGAACATGAAAAATACAGAGATATTGTCACAGTGAATCTGAAAATAGAAGCAGAGTAGCTTGGGAGCATATCTCAAATAAAATCAAAACATTGTTCTAGATTTAAAAGATTTTTTTCCCCCAAATCCTATAGTTTGGCATGCCTGATGCTGAAGTCACACATAGGGAATTTGTTGCCTTAGGTCAAATCCATTAACAGCAAGTTATGAGTTTGAAGCAGAATATAAAGTGAATTCAGTTTTTTCTCCATGTAGAAGCGTGGACATGTTCAGCAACAAATAAATATTTGATTAATAATAAAGTAAACAATATGATTGTGTTCAGCAACAAATAAATATTTGATTAATAATAAAGTAAACAATATGATTGTTATATTCTTTGAGGATACTTCAATGATATTTGTCAGAAATACAATGGGAATTGATGACTGGAAAATTTCTTTAGGGATGATAATTGTTGTTTTAATATTCTGTTAGAAGAGAAATAGAGGGATCATTCTCATGAATGCTGAGTTGTTCAACATGCAAGCTTATTTTTTTCCTGTTAACTCAAAGATAGTATAATATGGTCTTCTTCATTTAACTGCAGCTTTATGGGAAAAGTTAAAAACTCCATTTTGTTGCTACGGGCTTTCTAGAACTTTGCCCTTTGTTAGGTAGAAGTTGTGACATAGTGTGTACGTATATGCGTGGGTGATACTTCTGTGCATATTACACAAATGGGGAGCTAAGGAAGGTTGCAAAGCTGAGAAATCACACACAAACTTTAATCCACTATGGCTCAAGGAAATGGGTGATGCAACTGTAATGAAACCTGCTGCATTCTTATCAACACATTTATCTCAATATATGTTCTTGGTAAATGTCTTCATGAAGACAAGAAACTAAAATAGAGTTGATGTTGAAAGCTATCTCAGTAAGAACCAGTAGATATCCAAGGATGCCTCAGTCAATTGAAACCAAATGACATTATATCTTGGAGATGTTTTTAGAATAACATCTTAGATTTTATGTTTAGACCCATTAAATTTTGGAATAAATTTTATTGTTTTATTTTTAATTATAATAAGTCGATCCAAATTGTTGTTTAAAAACCCTCATATTCACAAGAGATTTTAAAAATAATTTTAATTTCTTTTATATTCTTTATTGTTTTAGGGAAGTACAACAAGATAATCAATGAGCACTATAAGATATAAATATGAGTATAAAGGATAATATTCTGTGGTATAAGTAGAATGGAAATAAATTTTAAAAACTTGTATTATATCCTTGCCCTGAATTAATTTCTCCACAGCACTTAATTCCCAGCTGCCTATCTTATTTATTTTTGTTGTTTATTATTCCTGTGCTAGAAAGCTGCTAAAAGTAGCATTTTTTATTTGCTTTCTTTCTTACTTTATCCACACAGCTGAAATAGTCCCTGGCACAGACTACATGCTCAATAAATGTATAGATGAATGAATAGATGAGTGAATGGACATAGGAACAAACAAATACATTTAACAATAATAACAAAAATAAGTGAATATACTAAGGGTAAGACAACTGCTGGCCCACTTTTCTTCTTCCTAGAATATTCTTCTACTTATTGTCTTTGCAGATCTGAAGTCTGCTTTTTTTTCACCTAAAGGTATCCCTTGGACATATTTATATAATTGTACATATAGATCCTTGACCAGTTTCCTTTAGCAGGTGATAAGAGGTGGGAGCTAGTTCATGAGAAGATCTGAAAATAGCTAGGGGTACACAAATCTTGTGTTCGAGCAAGCGAGAATAAAGAGACTGGCACAAAGCTAGATAGTGGGTAGATATAGTTTGGGTGGATGATTTCTTTGAATACTTTATTTTTAATGATAAAAAAGACAGAAAAATTGCAACTGAGAGTTATATGATTCCAGGTACTGGATGTTAAGAAAGAGAAGAAAGGATGACAGCATAGCAGACTCAAGAATCCACTAAAATCCATTTTAAATGAGAGAAGTCACCAAGCATAGCTATAATTTTCCCTAGCAATGTCCAATGTGGATAGAGTATGGTTTCTAACTAAGGTCATGTTCAATCTATGGGTTCGTGACAAACCGAGAAAAGGCTTAGAGAGTTGAATGTATATGTAAGTGAGTGAATTAATGTAATGATTGACCACTAAAAATACATAAAGAAGGAAGTGAGTGTATGAAAGGAAGAAATGACATTGAAACTATGACAGGTCAATGGATTAAAAATCTGCATCAGGGGAATATTGAAAATGTAGTTCAGAGTGAGCTAGAAAAATGAAGGTGATAACTGCAGATGGTGTTGAGGGTGGGTGTGCAGTTATTGATCAGAAGTATGCCATGGAAGTACATGAGTAATACAGAGTAGGAGAAAATAACTTTGAGGGTAGACATCAAAGAACTGAGAAGCAACGGTTCTAGAAAGATTATCTGCATATATTGTAACTTCCAAGAATTATTTTGGGAGTTATGTTAGTAAGAGTTATACTAAGTCAAGAGTTTAAAAATCTTCGGAGCAGATGGGGGAAGTGCCCCCAAAGTGTGTTAGATGACTGCCACCGGAAGAGGTAGTAGGAAGTATGGACTGATAATGTGACCCTCGACTCTGGGAATCTTTAAGGAGAGAGAAAATTGCTCTTGAAGCATCAGTGAGGAACAAGCTATTCACTACTTCACCTTCAGTACCTACTGGAGTGGGATACAAATAGCCATCACCTGAGAATGCCCCATGGAAAGTTGGAGCCATCCCAGGTATCAGACCAAGAATTGCAGCAACATGAAAGACTTTGCTGTTGATGACTTTGAGTAAACGAGGACATAGTGGAAATATCTCAAAGAATTGGGATGGAGTGGGGATGTTCTCAAAGGAAACCCCCATTCCTTGG